TATAAAATTGAATGCATTTTATAAAGCAACAATAATTATAATTTAATAATAAAAAATATGGATCAGGTCAGCATCCTCAGCACTAAATACATAGAAAAACTATTAAACAAATGTTACTGTTAAGACAATAATTAAATCATTATAGTTAATAGAGTTAAAATTTTGATTTAAAAGTTTGACTGAGATGGATTGTTGGCGATAGTATAGATGTTGGATGGATTGAGTAGCTTTACTTGAAAATTAGACGTATTAAAAAAAGATTTAAGACCTACAATACAATATTTAAAGTAGATTTAAAACTTTAAGCCCTTAAATTTTGAGAATCAAGACATTTTAAGACTCTGTGGAAGCCCTGTAAATGAATGATTTCTTTTTAAACAGAGCTATTCAAGTCATCTGGTAAAATTGTATTAATTTCACACAATACAGCAGGAAAACTAAATATCTCTATTTTTCCAATATCACACAGATTATAGGTTTAGTTCTTTAACATGAATTAAAGCGTTCTGGTCAAGTGTCAAAATGACGAACACCATTAATTAACTCCCACCAGAAATAGATTTCAAAAAGAGACATCTCTATGATGTTTTATTCAACACACATGGTCCAATTTAATGAGGTTTTTAACCCATTTAATAGCAATAATCAGCAATGCCTGCCTTAGGAAGCACCACAAGCCAATTGGCAGGTTCAACAAAACCAATACCAGTTCTACAAATGATCCAAAATATGTGTCCATTGTGATAAACTCTGGCCAGCTGAGAAAACATCAGTCAGTGACAAGTCATCATGAATAAGATATGAATCCGAGCTGTATTAAAAATATAATAAATTGTGCACTCATGCTCCCTCGCAATACTAAAAATGCCAGCAATATTAGTTTATTTCTCAAGAGACACAGGACTGAACCCTGAGGCATTCATTTTCAGCAATTACAAACCGCAGTACATTCAGTGCCCCCTACAAAGCGTGCAGGGATCCATTCATCACCTGGCTTTACAGTACCATCTGGACAGTGGGCTGTTTGTCTTTTAAAGTGAACCCATTACTGGAAAGGTGGGCTGTTATACACACTTAAATTAATCATCTAACTTAATGAATTGACTAATCGACTCGCATAATGTGCTTTCAATTACATATGGGGATTGGATTATCTGATTTGTGTTGCTCATAAGCTTGAAGTTGCCGAACTCATCTTATCAGAGCAAAACTTTAGAGGTTTTGTGCAAGTTAAAAAGGTATTTCTTGATCAGGAAGTGAGGTAGAAGCTCATTCCACACAAGTCTACACTCAAGGGCCTGTTACAAGCAGAGAATATCAAATGACAACTGGTGGAAGAGGATGATGTTTTATGCATTCCATCAGAGAGAGCCGAAGCATTCAGACGCAACATGCAGGAAATGTTCAAAATTCATGACTTCCCTCAGAATAGGGTAATGAGGAAGAAAAGGACAAATTTGCATATTTCCTAATTAAAATCTCATGGTGCAGAAGGACGTTGAGATCTATGCTTTAAATATTCACTTCCAGGTAGTCAAGTGTTTGGGAGCGACAACCATATTTACTAACTGTGGTAGTAATTTTAATGAAAGTGATGAAAGTTTATATCAGCAAGTTTGAGGCAGGATTTGGTTTGTTTTATATGTTATATATATGTGTGTGTGTGTGTGTGTGTGTGTGTGTGTGTGTGTGTGTGTGTGTGTGTGTGTGTGTGTGTGTGTGTGTGTGTGTGTGTGTGTGTGTGTGTGTGTGTGTGTGTGTGTGTGTGTGTGTGGTGTGTGGTGTGTGGTGTGTGTGTGTGTGGTGTGTGTGTGTGTTTTTGTTAATTAGTATATTTATTTACCAAGAATTTGTTAAGTGACAAGCCTTTTTTCAAATTAATGGTCAAATTCAAGTTAAAGAATCCTAAAAAAAAAAAAAAAAAAAAAACTTCTATAATAATAATAATAATAATAATAATAATAATATCAATATTGATATTAATAATCATCATCAATAATAATAATAATAATAATAATAATTAGGACTGCTCAATATTGGAAAAATTTGATACAGCCATATTTTATTTTTCTGTGCTAAATATATGCGATATGAATGTAGTTCCACAAGATAGTTTGAATAGTACTAATTGTCATTTTTCTGGGAAGTCTTAACAGTATTCAGAAACAGAAATTGAATAAATCCCAATGCAAAAAAAGGCTTTTCTTACCTAAAAAAGCTTTACACATAAAAATACAAAAATTATTTATTTTGCTATCACACATCGTTATTTGTAGGTGAACAATTAATCCGCACAAGTTAATCTATGAAAAAAATTTTTTTTATAATCTTCAATCAAAGTTGGACGCCCCTCTTACCGTTAGTTGGTTAATGATGCCTAATAACAAAGCCCCGCATCCAAGTAAATATTCCAAATTGAATAATCACAATGCAAAAAAAGGCTTTTCTTCTTTGCTTGGTCCAATTACTAAGTCAAAATATAGAACCAAAAATTCTTAGATTAAGTAAAATTGTTTTGTTTTCAACTTTTTTTTGCAAAATTAAAAAGTTTCCATTTAACAAGCAAAATTATCTGCCAGTGGGGCAAGTAAAATAATCTTGTTTTAGCTTTAAAATGTAGATATTTGCACTAGAAAGAAGACACAAATTATAAGAAACTTTTTTGCGTGAAGCATATAAATTCTGTATAAACACCGTAATTAAGTGCAATTCTGTAGCTCCTGGTCAGCTATAATCCAAACTCAACATTGCATTTCTTGCGATGTAACTATTGCAGATGTGCACAAAACAATATCGATGCTGAAACAATAGATTGTGCAGCCTTAATAATAGTAATAATCATAACAACAACAACAACAACAACAACAACAACAATAATATTAATATATTCTGAAGCATCAAAGCAACATATTAGAATGATTTCAGTAATGATGCTGAAAGAAATTAAGATATATAGAGAGAGAAAACCTAAATATTTCCCAATATTGTTTTTAATAAATGTACTTCAGATTAGATAAATCCAGCCTTGGCAACACCAAGCCTTTGAATAGCATTGTGCAAAACAACAGAAAGAGGCTAATTTTAAAACTTAACAAACCAGTTCAAACAAGGAAACAGCCCATCTGTCAAACGTCACTTAAAATGTCAACCTTAAAAAGCTGAATCATTTTGCTTACAGAAAACAGACTCATCCAAAACTGAAACATAAACAGAATTAAATGATTTAAAATCACGACTGACAACCATTAATTCATTATCACATCTCCTTTATCTACTAAAATTTTTAAAGTCTGTGTGAAATCAAAATTCGCAATGTTTATTTTGCCATCACACCTTATTTTTAGGTGAACAAATAATCTGCGCAAGTTAATCCACTGAAAAAAAATGTCTGACACCCCTCCTACAGTTACTTTGCTCTGAGGGAATGATGCGCAAAAAGAAAAGCCCAGCCTCCTGATAAATTTTCCATTTGAGTTGGAAAAACATCAAAATATACTGAAATATCACACAGACTTCAAGCAAACATTTTTTTTACCTGCCTACCTACTTCTAGTGAAAAAAGGTAGACGTGTTTATCTTGTATAGTACTAAATATTTAAGCAAAAAATCTGATTCATTACTGTACCCGTCTTTGCTCATCAAAATGAAGAAATTATTTTAATGTCCCCTTACACAGTAAAATTTGACCTTAAATTTACAGTAAATGTCTGGCAAATAATTGCATTACATTCACAGTAAGGTACTGTGTGTAAATTCCAAGTACATTACTGTAGAAGTAATTCAAAACAATAATTCTGTAAATATTTATAAATGTCAAAAAGTGCCTGTACTAGCATAAATGTTCGTGTGCATTAATTTCAATGTGGAATAAAACATTAATAGTGCTTAAATTCCTATAACTAACATGTAAAAGATAAGACCGTAATTTGATGTCTGCCTCAATTTCACAATTAAATTCTGAATGAGTCAAATTTAACAGTTAAATGCTGTGAAGTGAAAATAATGTAATTTAGTGTGAAAAGTTACAGTAACATGTTGTGTAATTCTGGGAATTTACTAGTGTACCATTAGTTTGCTATGAGAGAATGATGCGCAAAAAGAACGACCCGCCTCCTATTAAATATTCCATTTGAGTTGGAAGTACATTAACATATACTGAAATAAGTCTCAGCAACTTCCAGATCGCACAGACATCAAGTAAAAAATAGCCTGCCTACTTCTAGCTTAAACGTGCCAAAAGTGTATATTGTATAGCTTTAAATGTTCATGCAAAAAATCTGACTGTCATCACTGCTTTTCACACGCCTTTGCTCATCAAAATGAAAATAACAATTCATTAAATCAACACATTGCATTCTGAAAGTAACAGAAGCACACAGACAAATGCGCAACCCAAAGCAGCTCTCCAAACATACAATATTACTCATCTAGCACCAAAGACTATAGAATACTCAATAGTTTTGAATGGGGAAAAGTGTAACGATCAATTTGGCAAATGAAGCCCCGCCTTCTAGTACTGAGCCAATTATTGATCGATATACTGACAATTCTCCGGAGGAAAGGCTTAGAACAGACGTGAGTTACTGCAGATTTTGAATGTTTAGAAATGAAACTAAAGAGACAGTTGTTGTTTAATTTTATAGGTGATTCCCATTACGAAATGTAATCATAAGATTGGCTAGGAGTTTTGGAGAATTTGAGGTTTCCCCATTCAAACAGAATGCCTGAGCATACTGGCGTTACAAAGATGGCCACCAAGTGAAATGACTTCCTGTAAACCAACGGACTCAAACTGAATACCTTGAGGGCCGCAGCTCTGCATAGCTTAGCTTCAAGCAGCTCCAACTCACACCTGCTTAATAGTCTCTAGTAGTCTTGAACACCTTGATTAGTTGGATCAACTGTGTTTGATTAGGGATGGAGCAAAAATGTGCAGAGCTGCGGCTCTCCAGGAATCAAGTTTGAGACCTATGCCGTAAAGGGACTTTGCTAGTACTCACATTCCCATGGTTCACAAAGCTATGCTTTCTAGCAATCCGGTCAGCTTCCTCCTCTCCCCCCTCAATATGGACGGCCCATGTGTTGGTGTAAACCTTCTGTCCAATGGATGGCTGTGGCCCAGAGGTCAGGAGAACCATTAGTGTACCGAGCGTCAATGAGGCAAGCCTGAGATCCATCAGACACACTATAGGAGAACCAAGGCAGGAATTCCTAATGTCACCAAGTCCGTCAGCACAGCAGGCCGCTAAATCCGCGCTGCTCCCGGCACATGTAGAGTTGGAGCCGTGTAAGAGAGATGTACTTCAGGAATCACCTGGGGGAGAGAGAAAGAGACGATAATGAGTCATTTGAGTTACTAGACGGAAGAATATGAATCACAGATGAGATTTAAGTGTGGAACTGACTAACTCAGGGCTCGAAATTGCGACCATTTTGGTCGCATATGCGCCCGAAAATTAATCTATGCGACCTCATAATATAATTGGGCGCATTAGTGCGACTGCAGATAATGGTTGTAGTGCGACCTGTTTTGATTTTTTGTAAAAACGTGCTGAATCGCTCTTATCTGCCGTTATATTGGTTCATATTAGCTGTCATTCACTCACGGTATTCCGCTGTCAGATGACAGGGAAGGAGCTTTTATGACCACAGGAAATGCAAACGGCTGAAGAGTGAAAACTTAAAGCACACAGGTTTGAAAACCCCACCTAAAGTTGAGGCGCAGATGAAAGCGATCATGACACGTCACGTGGTGAATAATGATCCGCCAGCTGAGATCAATTGAGTACGCGCTTCTTAGAGAAGGCGCCCGAATCTCCATGCGTTGCATTCACTGCGTGTTCAGCGCAAATGTCCGCTAAAAGTCTAATCTAATACTGTATATATCGACAAAGAAGCTCGCCTTTCCTAAGTTTACACTGAAACTGCGGCTAATAACAAAGACCGGTATTGCACCGATGGTTAGCGCAAGAATCTTGCGCTGCCTGCTCATAAATTGGGTCGGCTGACTCGCCAGCTTTTCCACTAACACAGAAAAATGAAGATCATCTCAGACTGAACCTTTAAATAGACACAAACTGAAACCAAAACTTTTAAAGAGGGATAGAAGTGAGACTTTACTTACTTTCTTTTGTCAATTCTTTTTTGAGGTGTATATTATTTTTTTATTTATTTTCTGATGACTGCTTTGCAGCTTTCATCAATTGAATGATTTATTATAATCTTTTGTTTGTTTTGTAGCAGAAATATTATTTATTAAATTGACATGCATATATAAACAGCAGTGCAAAATAAATATTTCTTACTGCAATGCTTCATTTTTGTTTGATGTAAACTAACAGACTTTTTATAGCAGATAACTTGCATTCATGCACATTTAAGGCAGTATCATAATGAGAAATGGAATTCATTGTTACTATTATTGTTATTTTCATCATCATTAATATTCTATGGCCTAATTATTAGACATTCATTTTGGAATTATTGCACACAAATATCACTGTCTTCGCAGCATTAGTTAGATAGTTGTTTCTAGTTTTTGTCAGTCCTATTAATGTTGTTTTAAAATACAATAAATCCCTTAAAAAACAATTTGTAGCTGTGCTCATTAATTTTTGGTGGGTGCTCCTAAATTTTTTCTGGTGCTCCTAAAATTTTTTTGGTGCTCCTAAATATTTGAAGTTGGGAGCACCGGTGCTACCAAGTAAAAAAGTTAATTTCGAGCCCTGCTAACTGGTTGAAAATTAACAGCACAGCCAATCTAACAAGTTTTGCTTTGGTGGTGGCAGACATGCAGCTAAAGGGGTTCAGTTTCTATCAGTTTAAACAACATTAGTCAGAGCTCTGGAGTAAATGCGTCTTTCCCAGCCAGTGCAACTAAATTTTAAAAGTGGTTTTGGAGCCAATTTAGATTTGCAGAACTGATAAATGATGACATACCATTGCCTATGAGATACATCACTGATCACACCGAAAGCAAACAGTGCTGCTTGTTTGAACTGAGCACTGCGCTGACCATTTATCATCTTGTTTTAAAAGGACAGCACAACGCGAGCAACTATTGGACGTGAACACCAATAAGCGCTGTTTGAGTTTGTTAAAGAGCCTTATGATACCACAAATTAACCTGCTTTTACAGCCAAATGAAACAGTGCTGCCATTCTTTATAAATTAGTAATGCAATACAATGGTGTTTTTGTCAACAAGGCATTGGATGTGCATATTATCCATACTAAATAAACTATGACATCAGTTTAATGAATAAACAAAAACCAAAATTTAGGCTTCCTTTTACTATGATATAGAGGTTGTTATATTTGTATGGTATGAGATAGTTATTGAAAAAGTTTAGCATCTTGATCCTACCCCATGCTCCTGCTGCTCTCAACTAATTACTGTTAAATGTGAATTTACCACCAAGAAGCAATTCCATGCAAATGTCAGCCTTGCCATGAAAAAAATAAAATAAAAGAAGTTTACAAAAAATAGCAAAACCCTTTCTAATTTTTTGTGAAGGCTTGTATTTTACAATACTGTAAAAATACTCAAATGTCTCTGGTAAACCAAATATAATAGTTTGTAAACATTGACAAAGTCACACAAACAGCTATTTCACATTAGTCACATCCATAACAAAGCTTTTTGCTCATAAATGCAAAAATGTCAAATAAAACATAGGCAATCATTTGTGTTCTATAAAGAGACAAGCCCTATCCATTTGATTAGCATTGTTTCTTTTGAGTTGTGCAGCTTAATTCAGATCATTTCTATAAAGTATGTTGCATACTGTAAACTCGGTACAAACTAATGTTTATTTTCCTCATTTAAAATCTAAAAAATGTTTACAGATTGACATTTTCCTGATCCCACAACTCTGTGGCTAGTTGTTTGGAAAATATAAACAGATATTTCAATATCATGTTAACATAAAAAGCGTATGTCAATTAATGTTTTGAGGTTTTACTGCAAATGTCACATCTATAACTCTGGAATTGCTCCAAGGCAGTTTGAGTGCTGGTTTCGAGCTTGGTTCCAAATTGATTTTTTGTGTTTCAACACAAAAAGCACCAGCTCTAAACCAGGAAAAGAGATTCTCAAGTAGCACCAAAACATTGCAAGGCTAGAAGTAAGAATCGGCTCCGATCTGAACTATTCTCTATATTTGAAATAACAGCAGAACATGTAATTACCACTTATAATTAGGGGTGTCCAGATCAAATCACATGACCGGAAATCCGACCTGACGACGCAGTTTCAGACTTGATCAGATTCTCGATCACAAATCTATAGTTATGCACTGATATAGAGTTAGACCTCTTTCTTGACTTCACACAGAAAAAGCAACGTGTGCGGCATGACCTCACTTTGTTGCAGAGACGCTATTGGTTAAATGCAAGCAAACTAGATCACTGAAGCAGCTTGAAGTGGAAAGCACGAGTATGTCTCCAGTCTGGATGCATTATAAAGTTGATGAGGACAAAATTGCCATAGCAAATTGTGAGATATGCAATCTTGATACTGCAAGAGGAGGAAAGAAAAAGGCTACATTTAACACAACAAACAAACAGATGTTGAATATTAAAATAAGGGAAATTGAATAAAATAAGGAACATCCTGGATCTGTTTCTTCACCCTTTTTTATTGTTTTTTATGCATTATAGAAGAATCTTATCGGATTCAGTAGATACTCAAAATTAAGACAAGTGCAAAAAAAATAAATAAATAAAACTGATCAGGACACCCCTACTTCTAATCTGTCTATTTAATTAACTACTAAACACAGAACATCAATTTATTCCCACAAATCACAGCAATGAACAAACACATTTGCAGTTTTATTTTGATTAATCGCCTAGCCCTAGGAATCCCTAGCACTAGTGATATTCTCAAACGTCAATCTAAAGCCCTCATAGTCATTTAATTTAATGCAAATATAAGCGAGGCTGTGTAGAGTTAACATTCATTTATGTTTACCTGGGATTGTCTGGGATATAAATAAGGGTCTAAGCCGAAGGAAAATAATGAATGAATGTCTGGGATGGAAAACACACCTGAATATGCTTTCCAGAAAACCAAAAACCCTCACTGTCTGTTAATTAAAAGGTATTCCCACAAAAATACTTGGAGGGATCAGAAGGTTTTTGTTTTTGAACAGTGTTGACAATTTGAGGGGACTTGAGCAACAGCAAATTTGCACAAACTTGTGCAGAATTAAGACGGAGCTCAGCTCACTGCTTGATACAGCTAAAAATTGCACGAAGAAGCATTAATGCCTGGTAAATAAATTCATCAACCTCCAGCAAATATCCCTTCAGAAACTTTAACAACAACTTATATTAAACCATGCAGAGCTAAACATTCCTGGCTTGACTGCTCAAAATATGCCTTTAAAAAGATTTCAGTTTGTCTCATCACTGAAATGGATAAAAAAATAAATAAATCTTTCTGGCTTCCAAAATGTGCCAAGATCATTGCTGCTAAGACATCAGTAAACCAAAGATTGGAAAGAAGAAAGCTGACTTATACTTCCACAGAAACTTTATTCATACTTCCTTGTTTAGCCATTACAGACCCGTTGTTTCACCACAAAATCGTCGCCCTGCTTCTCACCTATGACTAAACAAACGCTGATGCAACATTCTTGTTGACTTGCGGTTCAACTTAAGCCACTGCATTAGGGAATAAAGCAGCGCATTCAAGTCACACTGCATTTGGTCCATTCGTCAGTCTAAAAGGTAAAGAGGGAAAATGCGTTTTCCAGAAAACACTTTCATTAACAGTAAGGATAAGTTGGCTTGAAATTTTATTTGAGCTTGCTACATGCAAAAAAGATCTATAAAAGTCTATTTTACTGCAGCAAAACTTGATGATGATGATTCAATGCATGATTTCTTAATCGTGGATTAAGAAATTCATGTTGAGTCTAGTTGACCTGTCCACACCCTTAATGGCCCATTTCTTACACGCATAAAAACACTCGTTATGCACAGTCTCACTGGACAAAATGTTATTTTGCTTCATGTAAAAAAATGCAGGGTTCCCCACAATTCCTTCAAGTTGTCCCAACACAAATCAATTACGTTAATCATTTTTAAAAATATAAGTGGATTGAACACAAAACAATTAAGGCGTCTCAAAAGAAACCTTGAGAACCGTGTTGATTTAGCTTATTGAAAAATAGTAGTCTGAACAAGCAGGAAAAGTCAGTTGAGTGCACACTATTAAAAATGCAGGGTTCCACACAATTCCTTCAAGTTTTCCCAACACAAATCAATTAAGCTAATGTAATTGTTTTTACAAATTTAAATGGATTGAACATAAAACAATGAAGTTGTCCCAAAAAACTCTAGAGAATAGTGTTGATTCAGCTCATTTTAAATAAGTAGTTTAAACAAGCAGCAAAAATAATAGTGTGTAAACAAGAAGGGCAACTGAAATTATGCTCCATGATCATATAAGCAACTCATCTTACATTCACCATCCCATTCTTCGCAACACAACTAAAAGTGCTAGCATTTGTTTTCAGCTTTTATTCTATTATTCGACATGGCATGGCTGTGTTGGTTCAAATGACATGTCCCCGTTTACGTGCTTTCTGAAAGACTCACAATGTCAGCATCACCATAACAATGGCAGGAGAATGCAGTCAGCTGTGTTAAACTGCACTTCACTGAAATCCAGAGGCTGACGCACTAGTACCTGTTCTACCACAAGTTTACCATCAGGAAATAAAATCTTTACATTCTTTTACTTTTACAAACATAAAATGCTGCAAAAAAGCATAAACATTCATGCAAAAAAACAAAACAATCAGCATTTAAACTGGCATCATTCATTAAACCCCATTTTCTATTTCAGATTTGACTAAACAAACAAAAAAAAATCCAAATGACAGAATTCAGGCTACATAAAGCCTGTAATTGTATTACAAGTTCAGTAAGACTAATTCAGCTTTACTGTCAAGTAAACAGCTTACAGCAGTTTTGATCACCACACATTGGTAAACAATATTCGAGAACACACAAATATTACAGCAAATGTTTGACAGCTTGTCCAAATCATATCAAATCACTACACAAGCATAAACCAATTCTGACTATACTTGTTCCAAGAACTCTCACATTATTTCACAAACATTAAAACAAGTTCCAACATCCGCAAAAACCTTTAAAACTTACATTATTGGTAAAAGCCAAAAAAAGGAAACCATTAAAATGTTGAACTAAATATCTGTTTAAAAGTTGATTTATGCTGACTTAACCTACAATGTTATTATCAGGTCAAAGACAAGAAAACAAAGCACAATACTCACTTGAGCTCGGAGCATGTGTCTAACCCAGATTAAGGTAGGCTAAGAACCAAACAAGAAGTGCGTAACTTTCCTGACAGCAATTTAAAGCTCTGCCAGCCCTGATTTCAAAGTACACCCACTCGTGATGACATCACAACATGGTTAACACTTAACAGGGAGCGAAAACCCGACAGGGAGGTGTTTGACGGTAAAAGCGAGCCACTTGGAAAGAACTTGAGACAGGATGCAACTTTTAGATTCTCACAAGCCTGTTTTTTTATGTGAAAACCAGAGGAAACCAAGGCAGCTGTGCATATGCAATCCATTCTTCAGTTCAAAACACAAGCAAAGGCTTTTTTTCCAAAGAAGAGACAAACTTTGTTTCCTGGCAAGCGTTACACCGGGATTGGTAATGGCTGAAACATTGGTCTCATGAGGAAAGAGAATAAAAGCATGATCAATTTAACTAGTTCAGGGGTGAGAAAAACACCAGAAACATTAGCTTTGACAACAGATACAAGTGTCTAATCCATAACCGTTTGTAGAGGCATATCACTTACAATTAATTCATACTTCTAATCCACTTAAAGAGTAAAAAGTCAAACTTAGACGCAAAAAGACAACATATCTTGACAACAGACAGAATAAAGCACCTCCAAATAGTGTTATCCACAATAATAATAAAAAAAAGTTAAAAAGACTGTAGAAGTAGATTTAAATCAAGGGGTATCTTAATAGTATTTCCGCAGATTTTATGAGGACATTTCAGAGCAAATAAAGACAATTTTATGAGGGTAAACACATTGCTAGCATCTCTAAATGTACATTAAGGAGAACACAAGTTGTATTACCAACATGTAAAGGTTTGAAAATACATCTTGAACCAATCTTTGTCGAATTTTAATTTAACAAAAGGTTCAAATAACTTTGCTCCCAAACACAAGCATATGGCAACAACTTTTGTAGTAACCCTAACCATGCATGCATGTATCCCAATGCAAACATCTCAGGGTTATAAAATCGAGATAAAATTACTTGCAAAGGAAAATGACATGAGATCTTGCCCTCAGTAATTAAAAAAAGAACAAATACCTGCCAACTGGAAACGTGGGGAATCAAACTCACATTGAAAAGTAATGTTTTTACCCCACTGACATATATTCTTGCTCGTGTAAAAAAATAAACTTAAATTTAATTCCTCACCAAACAAGACTTCATTTTTTTAATTTTGTATCTCAAGTAGTTGTATCTTGATTTTAAATTGGTTGCATAATTGTACTGAAAAATCATTTTCTGATAGTCAATGCAACATTTATCACCATGATGTTGTAGATTGAAGAATTCCTGTTGGGATTCACATCGAGGAAGAGCAAAATGAAGACTTGGAATTAACACTAAGAACTATCACTTTTTAAACACCTACTTAAACCATGTAAACTAATTATGCCTCTCTCATTAGTAACTTTGAGGCATTTTTGTGCTTAAATTTATTGATATCATTTGTGATTTTAGGATTAAAACGTTTTAAAATATAATAAATACGTATTTTAAAACCATGTCATTTGATTTTCAAAAACACAAGAATTGACGTCAATAAGCAACAAAGTTGTATGTACATTGAAAGTTGACAAATATCTTTTGTCCTCATTTAAAATACCATATGATACACGTTTTACATACGTGCTTATGTTGGCAGTAGATTTAATACCATGAGGTTAGAAATTTACACTTGGTTTTGTGATTTCCAACTTCTTAAGGATGGAAATTACATTATTTTTTATGTTCATTATTTAAATGGAATAATTTTTCATTATTTTAACTATTTTATTTTCTTGTGTCTTTTATTCTGGTTTATGTAAAGTCTTCTGAATTACCATCGTGTATGAAATGTGCTATACAAATAAACTTGCCTTGACTAAATTGAGGAAAACAAATTAAGACTTAACACTTGTTAAAGACCTTCTTAAACCTTGCAAACAAATTACGCTTCTCTCATAAGTAACATTTCCGAGGCATTTTTGTGATTATCAATATTGCTATCATTCATATTGGTGATTATTGTATTAAAAAGTTCTAAAATAATATATATTAAATACTTATTTTTTAAATCATGTCATTTGATTCTCAAAACAAAAAAAAAGAATTGAATTGAAATTGCCCAGTTAAATGTAATTGTTTGCTGTGTACGTTCCCAAATATCATTCGTCTTCATTTAAAAGCTGAAATAACATACATGATACACGTTTTACAAGGAACGTGCTTGTGTTGTCTAGCAAAATAGGAAGCCAACCATCACAACGAAAAGACGTCCTGAATGTCAAAATGTGTTTAGAGAAAACGTGTGTTTGGCTATCCACGTTTGTAGTTTTAACAGCTGCACATAATTGTATCTTCTTTTAAAAGTAGGCCTAACGTTACGTCTGATAAGACGAAGATAGGTAACGTTAGTATTATATACATCAAAAGGCTAACGCTAGTCATAAAACATTTCCTAACTTACGTGGTTCGCGCAGGTTTGTTAACAGTGGTGGGTAAAAAGTAATATTTTAAAATGAAGACTCATTCGAAAAGCAAAAAACAACACATACGTTCGCATTATCTTCATTAAAAGTGAACCAAGTAACACGTTTAACTACCTTTTCCTTTAAAAAAAAGTGTCTTTACATTGTAATGTATTAACGTTAGCTTTGTTTACTCCAAACACTGTTTGGAAAAACAAGTCCAATAAGTTACTATCGCAAAACTATGTTAAACAACAGCTTTAAAGTAGTCAATGGCTAACGTTACTGAATGAAATTCTTACCTCAACAGCATCAGCTTGTAATCTTCCGTTTCCTTGGACACACGGTAAATCCACTAAACCTTTCCGCGGACACGACGAAAAGTCCTCCGTGTTTGACTGACGACGAACACTGTCCCCAAAACAAAGCTTAACTCAGGATACCAGCAAAGTAGTGTAGTCAGAAGGACAGGCTGAGGTGTCCTGACGTACTGGACTGTCCTAAAGTCCACGCGCACTCATCTGCTGTACAATAGCGAAACTTTGCGATAGGTTTGCTTGCTCTGTCGCACGTAACGCGACGCTACGGCATCACTAAGACCCGGTTCGTCTGAGCCACCTTTGGACCGGCACGCCAACATACTTAAGGACGCATGCCGGAAAGCTGCAAACGGCGAAATCAAGTAAACAAACAAGATATAAAAAAATACACCTCTATCCAATGGACTGTAGTGGAGAGGTAGTCTACGGACTGCTTCTCAGGAAATACGTCACATATGTACGCAATGAGAAGCGACGTCAGGATGCGTCCACTTGAGCGCGTCACGCGGTATTTTTTGATTTCCTTGCGCCATCTACTGGATACGCCTGTGTGGCTCATATAAAACACACGCGTTTTGCTGGATATTTGATGTCAATATTTAATATGCCAGTAGGCTATTAGATTTAATAAAGCTTTATTCAGTTTATGCAAAGCTAACTTTGAAATGAACATGAAAATGATGCACCTAGATATAGTGGAGAGCGGGGCACAAAGGAACACTTTTTGGTTTTGGCCAAATAATGATCAAAGTATTGTGGTTAAACAAACCATATTTTTTACCAACAATACACCATCCTCTCCTACAAATAAGCACTGGAATTATTCACTGGAACTATGGTGTCTGTGCAGTATTGGCAAAAGTGTCAGGAGTAAAAATGTTACCATTTACACCCCACCTGCGGGTTGTAACACTTAAAAGGCAGATTTCACACAATTAATTTAAATTCATTTTACGTTAAATAGTAGTTATATTTCCTCAGTAATTGTCTAATGTTTTTATTCTACACAGCGCAGTGTTTATTTATTTATTTATTTATTATTTATTTATTCGATAAACACATTTGGATTTATTTGGATTATTATCCATATATCCATTATTATACAGGGCATTTATTTGGATTATTATCCATATATCCATTATTATACAGGGCATTTATTTGGATTATTAGCAATGATTTTTACTATTAAAGAATATTTTCAATTAACATACATACATACATACATACCATACATACCATACATACATACATACATATATACATACATACATACATACATACATACATACATACATACATACATACATATACTCACAACTAACTTCACTTTGTCATGTTTTCCTCAAAACTGGCTAGCAGTCACTGTTTTTTTTTTACATCTTTCAAAATGGTTTCATCTTTTAGCCTAGAAGACAATGATCACGACGATATAAGATTTAACGTTCATACTTTCACAGATTTTTTTAAATAAATAAAATTAAAATTAATTTAAATAAACTTATTTAAAAAATAATTTAAAATAAAATAGAAAAGCTTTTTCAATAATTGGCAGGAAGATGTCTGCTGACACAGTGGTGAAAACCTTGCAAGCATGCCATGGTTAACCCTGAGCAAATACTTTAAAACTCTTTGTTACATTTACCCTGCATTACTTTGTGCCCCACGCTCCCTATAGTTTTTGTGCTATGCCTATGCATTTTTTTATAAACAAGAACCAGCATGTACAGTTTTCTTATACAACAAAATCATTTTACATTTCTTAACAAGACAGAATAAATGTAAAAAAAAAAAAAAGAAATTAAATTTTAAAAAGCACAGAGAGAAGAGGGTACATTATTATCAAATTACATACAAGTATATTACACACATTTTTCCCAATTTTAGTTATTTTTACAACAGGAAATGCATATATACAAACATTTTATGTAAACACGTAAAAAGAGAAGCATATATCAACTGTTTTAATTTTCTATTTTTAGACTTAGAAATCACTTTTATATACACATTTGAATCTCTTTTTCTAGCACCATGAAAAGAGGTTTGCTTTGGGCAAACTTTGATTTTTACTTTGATTTTAAAGTTTATAATAAAACCATATATAATGTATATATGGCTGTATATTGGCACTGGTGGAAGGTGTGCATTGGCTCAAGGATGCAGGCAGAGTGCCCCTCACCCCCAGTGCTGATGTACAGCCATATTGCGCTGCTATAACAATTTGACGGAATAATCGCGTGTATTCAAAGGGAAATCAAACATGGAAAGTCTCAAAAACCCTTTTGTAAGGGGAACTACTTTCTTCCACCATTCATTCACATCTGCAGCTGATGTCAGAACAGCAGAAACCGTCACTATTCCACCAACGTCACTACTTCACCAATGTCACTTTAGAGCTAGTATTAAAGTAATTCTTTAGCTTAATGTCTAAAGTGATGACAAAACAGTCATGAAATGTCATCAGTCTACAGAGATTACCCAGTATTTCTCTGTTGCAATCAGGATTTCACAATAATTAACCCTGAAAAAAAAAACGGAGCAAAGCAAACACTATTAGATTACTGCACTATCATGTTTTTCTCTTCTTCATTCTTTTATATCACATTTTACCTGTTTTTATGTTTTGTTTTGTTTTTACGCATTTTTATTATTTGTTTTTATTTTTATTTTACTTGTTTCTTTTATTCTTGTTTATGTAAAGCACTTTGAATTGCCATTGTGTATGAAATGTGCTATATAAATAAACTTGCCTTGCCTTGCCTTACTGTGGTGTAAATGCAGCACTACAAAATGCAAAATAGAGAGAGATAGATCGACCTAGAATGTCACTTACCTGATTTATAATGATTTATTCAGCTGCAATTTATGCTGACTTTCTCCTCTAAGGACTTATTATGCGTTCTCTGTCGCCATCTTCTGACGGAACGTCAACCGTCACTTTCTTTGGTCTGCCCAGGCTGATGGCGGTCGATGCACTGAACCCGATCCTCCAAAATTTAATTGTTTTTTTTTTATATAATTATTTTTTTAGGGGGTTTTCACCTTTATTTTGATAGGACAGTAGAGAATTCAGACAGGAAAGCACTGGGAGCAGAGAGAGGGAAAGGATCGGCAAAGGACCTCGAGACGGGAATCGTGCTATATGTCAGCACGCAGTACCACTAGGCTACTGGCGCCAACATGAAATTTAAATATTTTAACCCTTTCAAGGCGGGAGTTGCAGATTTGCAACAGTTAAAAATTTACTACCTTATTACTCCAGATACATATTTTATGAGTTTTTTTACTCAGAAGTGTTGCAGGACTTGGTTGTCCATTTGCAACAAACAGTTTCCCCACTTGCTCACACAAACACACACAAAAAGTTTCTTGGAGTACCACATGACAAAGTGACTTGGAAACATGACCAACTCACTGAGGATTTGAGATATTGGATTTGGATCCCATATTGTTTTTGTTGTTGTTCTGCCAAAGAAGAGCAATTTGTTACATTGTTTGAAAAGTTGTTCATAAAAAATAATTTTTATATCATATTCAGTCGTCAGTGTCTAATTACCACGCTGAGCCAATGTTGCAAATCTGCAACATCCCAGAACGCCTTGCATGTGAAAAAAAGTCAGTATTACACCATATGATAATTTTCCCCAAATATCAGATTTTTCCTGTTTCTAAAAATTAATTTGAGCCTGAAAGGGTCAAAATAGAAACTATTATAAGTCAGTGGTCACCAAACTTGTTCCTGGAGGGCCGGTGTCCTGCAGATTTTAGCTCCAACCCTAATTAAACACACCTGAACAAGCTAATCAAGGTCTTACTAGGTATACTTAAAACATCCTGGCAGGTGTTTTGAGGCAAGTTGTGGCTAAACCCTGGCTGTTTCTCAATATGCGTTCTTCAGCGGTCTTGCGTCCTCGTGTTCTCGTGAAACGTCATCATCAGTTGCCTAAGTACAGTTCCAATACTCAAGATCGCAAGTACAGAGGACGCGTGAAACTTCCCGGATGTGATCTTGATATCGAGGACGCACTGATGCAGACTTGAGCACCGAACTCGCTCTGGAAGTCCCAGAAGTCATTGCGACTGGAGGTGGGAAGCGCAGCATTTTATCTAGATTTATTATTAAAGTTCATAGATATGAACTATTTACCTCAGGAGTTTCCCTAAATGAAACGGTGAAAGTAAACATTACCATGTACATCTTAATAAAGGAATAAACGCATTAAGGGTGTTTGTTTGCTGAAATTCGTATTTAAATCAGTTTTATTTATATTGTGCAACATATATTTATAATGTTTTTATGCAAAGTATATATTTTGAAAAGGGGAAAAACAATAAATTGTTGCATGAAGGCTGTAATGTTTAAATAATTTACCATTTAAAACACGTGAAGTCATGTGACCATCAGGAAGAACGCGTTCTCTGCCCTCGCGGTCTCCTGAGTTCGTTCTTCCGAGGACACCTGGCAAGACCGGTCTCCACAAGAACACAAGTCCGTTCTCTGCGTTCTTGGAATTGAGAAACAGCCCCTGCAGGGACACCGGCCCTCCTGGACCGAGATTGGTGACCCCTGCTATAAGTGAACTGCATAGTTGTAATCTAAACTACATTCTCGCCTGAAAAAGCCTTATGTGGCTGTATGTGGGCAGAGTAATACACAAGGGTGAAGGGTTAAGAGGTTGTACAAGTGTGTACGGCTATAAGCCAGAGTCAAGAACCAGACAGAACTGTTGTAAATATATCCTAGGTCTATCGAAAAATAAGACCAATTAAAAATTCTCATTTTATCCATGTATATCTAGTTTGAGTAAAGTTTGGAGAAATATTTTGTATTGGCATGAAGTTCTGCTTTTCAAAAGCTTTTATTTTTCATTATAACTGGTGACTATTGTGTTGTGATTGAGAAGCAGTGTTATTCCACCAAATATGAATTTATACAGAAGTTAAAACCAATGACTGTAAAAAATATGGACGACGCGACAGCCCTTTTTCCCATTGAACGCCTTGAGGGCAAAACGCCTGCTTGACGGGCACAAACTGTCGCAAAAGACTGCTGAAATTGGAGCCAGACATGCGCAGAAGGATTGTCTGATGGAGCCAGAGGAGGAGCCGCGAAAATGAGCAGAGTCGAGCTTCCAATCAAACGCTTTATGTAAAATCAACTACGCCCCCCGAACTTCTCAGCATGCGTTTCTTGTCATATCAACACAAATGGATGTAATAACGTTAACAAATATGAGGGTTTTATATATTCAATCGCGCCAGCTCCAGGCCGCAGCGCATAACTTACTCGCGGCGTCGCGGGCTGATTCCGGCTCGCATGCGGCAGCGCCTGCTCGCTCGGCCGCCGCATCTGGCTCGATTGACTCGGGCTGAAATTGGGTAGTGAGTCCAGGCATCCGGAGTAGGTCCAGCAGAGGTAACATTAGTCAGTCTGAGCTCTAAGAGATAAGTCTCCGGCTGGCGAGAATCTAGCCGGAACTGTGTTTTGCTATCTGGGTGGCTAGGCGTGTATCAGCAAACTAATAAAGCCCGAAAAAAGCCCTGAACTTAGCGAATAAACAGTGTTCCACCAGGATCATGTATGTCAGAAACTATAGTTTACTGCTGAACTCATTTTGTCATGGTAAAATAACACAGAAATCGAATAATAACATTTCAGTCTACTTCAGTCTCCTGCCGAAGCTCAGATGCCGCGCTTTGAGAAACTGTCAATCACAGCTGTCAATCACGATGACACGCCCAGCATTAAATTACTGCTAAAAACAAACTGTTTACAAAAATGAAGATCTGCACCTATTTCAGCACAATAACCAGTGCCTTAATCGACCAGAACTATCTTTCGGGACATTTTATTGCAAGTGTAATATTTTTTTTTATTTGGGCTTAAGTCTCCTTCATTAACACGGAGGAGGCGGGCTTTATGACTTGTACTGCAGCCAGCCCCCAGGGGGCGATCTAAAGGCCGAAACCTTCACTCAAACGTAGGCTTGCGGCACACTTGGTTAAAACACTAGTGTTCATTTAGAAAATGTATATAAACATGTCTAAAAAGGTTTTTTTGTTGTTGTTGTTGTTGTTGTTCTCTTAAGTATGAACACATGTAATCAGTTAACAGAATAAAAGTATGTTTTACTTAAACACACAACTTTATCGTCATTTAGAGAGGTTTTTGCATAAGAACAAAAAAAATTAAAAATAAATATATGCGCATGCGCTGTTTATCTGACACCTCTCAGCTGGCTGCTACTGCTACTGCTACTACTTCGTATTTGATCACAAACTTCCTATTAAGCACAACAGCAGTCAGTCTTACCATTCCTGGAGTACCATGAAGGAAACCAGCTCTTCTATCGAAATGTAAATTAGGCTGGTAAGCGCGTCCTCTGTCCCGCGCGGCCATCAATTAGATTAGCAGCATCAACCCACAGCTGATTTAATGATCCAGTTAATGAAGCTCCTGTAGCCCAAACTCATTATAGTCACGTCGAGCGGGATCACTTTTCAAAGTGTAGATTTCATACTTTCTCTACAAGCTTGTCATTATGGTAATGTTCAAGCATCGCCGGTTTGATGACCAAAGGTCAAGCCATGTTTTATTTGTCAGTAGCCGTGTCTGAAAGGCAATTCAGTGGACTGACAACTCATTATGTAGATGGACATTTCAGTATTTCATTATGAAGGCATTATTTGGCAACTTTGAACAGCATTTGCCCCTTAAGCTGATAGCTACAGTTCTTTCTGAAATTATTGCAATATTATTAGTTTGCACAATATTATTAGTTTGGGGGGGTGGGGGGGGGGGGGGTGGTGAATAACTTTTTTGTAGTTATTCACCTCATTTTCTATTTAATTATGATGTTTAAATACTCCAATAAGTGTCATTTTAAGCACCATTTTTAGCTGGATTAGCTTGTTGTATCCTCCATTTTTGATGTACCAAAAATATTTCTTAAAGATTTATTATAAACAAAAACAAAAAGAGAGCTTCACGATTTTCTTCTAGCCTCTCTTGAAAATTCATCTAACAACAACAGCCTAATTAAGCCTGATTTATACTTCTGCGTCAAACACCGGCGTATGCTACGGCGCTGACGCATAGCCCTTCGCCGTGGCCATCGCCGTCACTGACGTGCACCTCTCAAAAACTGTAACTACACGTCGCAACGACGCGTAGCATAAGCTCTGTGATTGGTCGGCTTGGTAGCGCTGACGAGTCTGGGCGGGACCGAGAGGCGCGCGAATGGCGCGACGCCGCGCGAGCGATTGTTTACAAGTGTGGAGTCCCGTGAAGGAGCTCCGGATGGAAAGTTTTGTTTTGTGTTTACCTCATAGTTAAAGTTGTTGCACGTCCGCCGGTTCCTGCCTCAAAATGAGCGAGTTTGAGCCACTTGTACATCCCGGAAGTGTTCAGGAAATGCAAAAAAGTAGCGAAGAAACTTGACACAGAGGAACATTTACACCTCACTGCCAACTAGCGTTTCGGAAGTGTTAATGCAGACCGGCAAAGACAGCGCGCAGAAGTATAAATGCACAGCCACGCGCGTTGCCTGCGCCGTGGGTTACGCCGGTCACCTGACGCAGAAGTATAAATCAGGCTTTAGTATGAACAGCAAAAGTCAGTCTAAAGCCTGATTTATACTTCTGCGTCAGGTGACCGGCGTTTCGGAAGTGTTAATGCAGACTGACGGAGACAGTGCGCAGAAGTATAAATGCACAGCCACGCGCGTGGCATGCGCCGTGGGTTACGCTGGTCACCTGACGCAGAAGTATAAATCAGGCTTAACCTACGCCGCATGCAACGCGCGTGGCTGTGCATTTATACTTCTGCGCGCTGTCTCCGTCAGTCTGCATTAACACTTCCAAAACGCTAGTTGGCAGTGATGTGTAAATGTTCCTCTGTGTCGAGTTTTTTATCTGCTTTTTTGCTTTTCCTGAACACTTCCGGGATGTACAAGTGGCTCAAACTCGCTCGTTTTGAGGCAGGAACCGGCGGACGTGCAACAACTTTAACTATGAGGTAAACACAAAACAAAACTTTCCATCCGGGGGTCCGTTCTTCGTACCTCGCCTAAATGATCTAAGATTATTTGGCAGATCCTGGATCTTTTAATCTTAATAACTGATCTCTCGCTAATTTGGTTCTTCAAACAAGTTCGCGAATCAGATTAAAATGTCTGGATGAACTGATCTGAGATCGCTGCGTGTGTTATGAAGGGCAGATCTATCGATCCTCGAAATCATGATCAGCAATGCAACGATTGGCTGACGGCACAGCAGCGTAATGACATCATCTGATCAATATTCAATTATCCATGTGAGCAAAATTACATCAAATTAGCAGTAAACGGTTTGTTAAATATGACACGCAAGAACTTTACACATTTGTTGTGAGCTGCAGGCTTTACTCTTTCATTTGTCAAGACAAGAGTATTCATCATGTATTTCAATGCAAATCAATGTATTTAGTTCTACATTTAGAAAAGATTTTCTTTATAGTAGCCATTTTTTAATCGGTGTAAAGAATAACTGGTTGTTTACAAAAGCATTTTCATATTGGTGAAGATGTCTGCAACTTTTGTGAAGCATCAAATCACTGGCATATTAACTATCAAAATATGTTTATGACTGCATAAATGTATTATTGCTTTTAAAAAAGTCACATATTGTGCATTTCTATTATGCACAATTTGTACTAAAGCGATCTAAAAAGTTCATATCAATAAGTTTTCTCTTTGCACCAGATGGCAGTCTTTGTACCTTTATTTCGAGGGTGCAGATTGCATAAGTTTTATTAATATGTATAACTTTATTTATTTTATAAATAAATAAATATATATATATATATAGTTAAAAAATATGTACCATTTTCCCAAGTGTATATAACTACTACTGTAAGAAAATATCAGAATTCGGAACAAACTTTCTGTATTATCTTTGCTTGAACTGAGCCGATCTAATCCTGTTTATATGAATTGAACCTGCTTCCGATCAGGTTTGACCTAGCAGAACTGTTGCCATGACAACAACTCTCGGATCAGCTTTGAAGAACGAAACGATCCTGGATCGTGTCAAATTGTCAACATCCAAATCCAGCTAACTGAGTAATCCACGTACGAAGGACGGACCCCGGTGCTCCTTCACGGGACTCCACACTTGTAAACAATCGCTCGCGCCATTCAGCGCTACCAAGCCGACCAATCACAGAGCTTACACTACGCGTCGTTGCGACGTGTAGTTACAATTTTTGAGAGGTGCACGTCAGTGACGGCGATGGCCACAGCGAAGGGCTATGCGTCAGCGCCGTAGCATACGCCGGCGTTTGACGCAGAAGTATAAATCAGGCTTGAGGCACTGGAAAAATGTGGAAAAAATATGAAATATTCTTTACTGACATGGCTATTTCTTAAAACTGTGCCCACACATTTTGATAACACTTGACTTCATCAGGGTAACCTGATGTAGCCGCAGTTTTAAGGAACAGCCATGTCAAAAAGGCTTTTTATTATTTTTCCCACATTTTTGAGTGCCTTGGACTGATTTTGATGTTTATTCAGATGAATCCTTTACACAGAGCACCGACACATTATGTAAGCTACCCCAGAAAACTTTTTAAAACTTTTTACTAGTTTAAAATATGATATCGTAGTGGACCACCCCTTTAAAATCACAATGAAACAATTTCTGTATAGTGAAATAAAATTCATTATAACAGATTATTGAAAAAAAACAAAAACAAATGCAGGTCACAGACTTCTCCACATTGGTTGTTGAATGAGGTCAAAATCAGTATATTAGATACACAAATAAAGTATTCAAAATAAGATCTTTAAGATATTAGTCATGCCGATTTCAGTGTTTATTTGTAATTATGATGTTGTTGTTGTTTCTAAGTTGGCATTTAATTACAAATGTAAGAATTCAAGAAACAGGGACAAATAAATATCCTTAGTTTTAATTGTTAAAAGAGATTCAACAATGTACAGACAAGAAATAATAAACATTTTGTGAAGCAGCCTGTAAACCGTAACGATGCCGCCTGGCTCCTGCCTGCAGAGACGGATAGACTTTTATTAGTACAATTATAGATTTATTAAAAACCAACAATTAAAGGGATAGTTCACCCAAAAACATTTACGCACTCCCGTGGTTCTAAATGTTTAGGATTTTCTTTTTCTGTTGAACACACTACATGATATGCTGAAAATAGTTTCAAGCAGCCATTGACATCTGTAGTAGAAACAAAAATAATACGGAAGTCAATGGCTGTTTTTGATTAAATAAGAAAGAAACTCAAACCTCTCTGGAACAAGTGAAGCGTGAGTAAATGATGGCAGGATTTACATTTTGGGGTGAACTATCCCTTATACATTTTGGCTACCAAAGCATATATGGTTATGACTTCAACAATAACGACATGACAGGAGATTAAAGTCGGCATAAATCAAAATATACATTTCCCATATTTTATATATGTATATGGTAGTGCTTGACTTATAATGTATCTGTGCACTTTATTATTTGTAAAACAAAAAAACAAAAATTAAATTAAATAATGTGTCCTCATAATCTTTAAGCAAACAACCCCTGGTAAAGTCTAAAAGGGATACAGCTGCGGATACTCACATCAATATCGCATAATTTTTGTGTGACACTGTACAACATTATTTCATATTTTTACATTACTGTGAGTGTTGGGTTTAGGGTTGGGGTAGGGGTAGTTGTTAATAAAACACTATTTAATGGATCATTTAATAAATAATATGAATAATACTTGGTGTGATTACTGTTATACTTTACTGTTATGCTAGGGTTTAGGGTTTGGGTTGGGGTAGATATTAAATAAATACAATTAAATGGATAATTTAACAAATAATATGAATAATACTTGGTGTAATTACTGTTATACATTACTGTGAAGGTTGTTTTTAGGGAGCTGTAATTAAAATACAATTTAATGTGTAATTTAATAAATAATATGAATGATACTTGGTATATTTACTGTTTTTACATTACTGTGATGCTTGGGTTTAGGGTTTGGATTGGGGTAGATGTTAAATAAATACACTTTAATGGATATTTTAATAAATAATATGAATAAAACTTGGTATAGTGACTGTATTTACATTACTGTGAAGGTTGGGTTTAGGGAGCTGTTATTAAAATACAACTTAATAGATAATTTAATTAATAATATGAATAATACTTGATATAGTTACTGTTTTTACATTACTGTGAGGGTTGGGTTTAGGGTTGGGGTGGGCGTAGATGTTATTAAAATACATTTAATGGGTAATTAATGGGTAATTTGATAAATAATGTAAATAATTCTTGTTAACCTCTGGCATCTGTATCCCTTCTAGCAGCAACCCTACCCCCTTAAATGTTTTTTCCTGACTTCTGGTCACATGGAATGCCTTTAGGGTGGGGCTATCAGTGCATGTCTTGTTTCTGCCCTGCCTCTGGGAGGCAGTGATTTGAACTAATATGATACGATTCCATCTGTAGAAATTAGGTCCTTCTTTTTCATTTTCATTGGCCATCTCAAAACATTTTGGTGCAGAGTAATCCTCTACAACTCCCTGAGTACAAACTGGCAATCAAATCTTCCTCCATTTTGTTAGCAACGCTCATTTTTCAGCGGTCCATTCAGTTTTTAAAGGACAAAATCATGCACCACCCTACATTTTAGGACTGCATATTTTATTTTTCTGCAACAAATATTGCCATATGAAGACGATGTTTCACAAGATGGCTTGAATAGCTTTATTTGACAGTATTCAGGTACGTCAGAAATCAAGAAATAATGTTTTATTTTTTTACCTTCAGAAGAAACAAGTCAACATGAAGAGTTCTGCCAATGGGGTTAGTAAAATAATATAGTTTTTGCTTTAAAAGGTAGATATTTGGACTAGAAACAAGAAAAAAATATGTAAATAATATTAATTAATTATAAATATAACTAATGAAATATAATAAATCTATATTACACCTCCAAACAGAATTTTTTTTTGGGCCCAAATGTTTTAAACTCTCTTGAAATGCTCAGTCACAGGCCTTAAAATCACATGCTAACAATAAACTTTCACTCTATTATGGTTAAATGCAGCAGTGGTCCTATGATTTTCAGTTCCTGGGTAACTATAATTCAGACAGAACATTGCAGACCCTGTGATGTGACTATTGCAGATGCACACATTGCGATTTACAATATATTGTGCAACCCTACTCATTTTTTTTCTCATTTCAGAAACGGTTTAATTTAAAGAAGATCCCGATATGGGAGAAAAGGTCAAATTAACCTCCATTTCATGACGACTTCTCAGATCAGAAGAACTAGCGCTGCTTACCTCTGTGTCCAAGCATGAATTCTCCTTCAAACTGAGCCATGTCAAGTGCTTGTCTTTGTTCGCTGTCTAATTCTGCCCACTGCTCCTCTGTCACGGCACACGCCTGTTCAGAGCTCAGCCAGGACAGCTGTGTGGCACTGAATACCACCTGAAACAATGAGAGGCATGTTTAATAAACAACATTTTAGGGTCGCCAACCTGATTTTACCAAGTAAGACATGTTCTTGGATTAACATCTACGTTGATCCTGGAACAACATTTCAATCAGCCAATCAGAATTAAGACATATGTTTATTGTTTATGTTAGGTTTAGGCTTATGGTTAGGTCCAACTATTTTTCCCCTTTTGGGAAATAATTTACTATTATGGTTGGATTTAGGGGTAGGGAATATGTATGAATTACATTTTCTCTTACAAAAATTATGATCCTGGATCAACATAGATCCAGGATCGCATCGTACTTGGCAAAATCATGATGTTTGTTTTAGAGCTTTCCTTTCATTTTTCATCAGTCTACAGCACAGGTGTCAAACTCAGTTCCAAAAGGGCCGCAGCTCTGCACAGTTTAGTTCCAACCCTAATTAAACACACCTGATCAGACTAATTGAGTCCTTCAGGCTTGTTTGAAACCTACAGGTAAGTGTGTTGGAGCAGGGTTGGAACTAAACTGTGCAGGGCTTCGGCCCTTTTGCATTTACATTTACATTTAGTCATTTAGCAGACGCTTTTATCCAAAGCGACTTACAAATGAGGACAAAGAAGCAATTTACACAACTAAGAGCAACAATGAATAAGTGCTATTGGCAAGTTTCAGGTCTGTAAAGTCTAAGAAGGAAAGTATTAGTAGTGTTAGTATTTTTTATTTATTTATTTATTTTTTGGGGTACAGTTAGTGTGATATTCAGAGAGGCAATTGCAGATTAGGAAGTGAAGTGGAGACAAAATAGTTGAGTTTTTAGTCATTTCTTGAAAGTAGCGAGTGACTCTGCTGTTCTGATGCAGTTAGGGAGTTCATTCCACCAACTGGGCAGATTGAGCGTGAGCGTGAGCGAAAGTGATTTCTTCCCTCTTTGGGATGGAACCACGAGGCGACGTTCATTCACAGAACGCAAGTTTCTGGAGGGCACATAGATCTGCAGAAGTGAGAGCAGATAAGAAAGAGCAAGGCCAGAGGTCACTTTGTAGGCAAACATCAGAGCTTTGAATTTGATGCGAGCAGCAACTGGCAGCCAGTGCAAACGGACTAGCAGCGGAGTGACATGTGCTCGTTTAGGTTCATTGAAGACCACTCGTGCTGCTGCATTCTGGAGCAGTTGAAGAGGCTTGATAGAGTTAGCTGGAACTGAGTCAGTTTTGGAACTGTTTTGGAACTGGAGTCAGTTTTGGAGTTAGTTTTGGAACTGAGTTTGACACCCCTGGTCTACAGGATCATTTACACAAGTGCATTTTCATTTTCATTTTAAAAAATATAGCTTCTGTTAAGATTATAGCAGGTTGTAGACATTTTCGACTCATGAAATTTGAACGTACTGAAAAGCTTAAGACCCTATTTTAGTTTGATAACGCTGGAGTTCAGTTTTAGTATAGATAGACTAAAACACAGACTTTTGAATACATGCATGTGCAGACCCAGTGCCAGAATAGCTTAATTGTTGGGCAATTGTAATCCCATGGGGGCACAACTAGACCTGGGGCCTCATGTACGAAGACTTGCGTGGAAATCTTACTAAAACATTGCGTACGCACAAAGCTGTAAATGTGCGTACGCAGAAAAAATTTCAGATGTATGAAACACTGCGTACGCCGAATCTCACGCATATTCTTTTGTACATCCGAATGAACGTGAAACTGAGCGCAACATGCACGAGCGCAAAACCCCTCCCTGCCTCCTCCCCCGTATGAATATGCTAATGACTATGCTAATGGCAAAACCCAACGAAAAAGCAACGGCAAAATCAAACAAAAAGAGAAACTTTGAACAGAATGTGAATTGGAGGTGCTGCTTTCGGAGGTAGACCGGAGAAAAGCGGTGTTATTTGCAAGTTTGTTCTCCGGAATTAACAACAAAAGAAAAAAATAGAGTGGGAGAATTTAGCTGATACGGTTAACACAGTTGGGTCTGAACATCGCACTGAGTGCATTTAAAAAAGAAATAGTGTGGTTTATATCTGTAAACTGTTGCAGTACCCTTAGCAGTCTCAGTGGCGCACCTCATAAGAAGCATATGATCATGTACTGACATGTTCGAGCACAAACTCGGTTCGAATCCAGCGTCTGATGAATTCTTTCTTCTTTTTTTTCCCGCTACATATCAGATTTTGCCCACTATTTATCACGAGAAAGACAAGTAGGAATCATTAATAAGTTTGTGCATCATATTTTATTTGCACATTTATTGAATGGAAATGTTTCTGATTCACGCATGCAAATTTATCTTCAGATAGTGTCTTTATAGCAATGTGCGTGCAGTAGATCGCTCAGATTACATTGGGAAAACAGGCGACCGCTGCAAATTGTGCTTTAATGTTTAGCTGGTCAACTGTATGGTATGGAAATCTTACATACCTACTATATGAACCCGTCTCATACAGCTGCCATTGCAAGGATCAGACACTTTGTAGAGAAGAATTTAACACAACTGCCTCTAGGAGTCGCCAATGGAAATAAAACAGACACGCACAAAAAATGTGCGTACGCCTGCCAGAAAGCTGCCGTGAACCTGCGCACATTCCCACGTTCAGTTCATTGTTAGTAAATCCAAACGTGAGCGATTCTGAGCGTGAAACCTGGCGTACGCAAAGTTTTTGTGCGTACGCAGCGTTGATACATGAGGCCCCTGATGACTGGTTTGGTCCCTCCTTGGGTCTCATTTCTAAACGGAGAACGTGTGGAACTTTAAGTAAACTCTTATTAAACATTCATTCATTCTTTTTGACTTAGTCCTTTTATTAATCAAGGGTTGCCACAGTGGAATGAACCTCCAACTTATCCAGCATATGTTTCACGCAGCGGATGCCCTTCAAGCTGCAACCCATCACTGAAAAACACCCATAACCACTCATTCACACACATAGACTAAGGCCAATTTAGCTCATTCAATTTACCTATAAACCCATTCAACACGGGGACAGCATGCAAACTCCACACAGAAATTCTTATTAAACATAACTGACTTAGTATTGGCTTAATTAAATCACTTTATCAGCATTTAAGACATAATCGGGAATAACTGAATTAAAATTTATTCTGGCGTATGTTAGGAAGGTTTCTATGCCAAGTATTAAAAGTGAGACCCCTAGACCTTTCATTTATTTATTATTATTAATTACCACTCACTGGCCACTTTATTAGGTACACCTGTCCAACTGACTGTTAACACAAATTGGTCAGAACAAGAGAAAATACACAGTTAGCAGAACGCACATGTCCAACCTTGAGGCAGATGGGCAACAGTAGCAGAAAACCACATTGGGTGCCACTCCTGTCAGCTAGGAACAGGAAACTGGGACTACAATTCACACAGGCTCACCAAAATTGGACAATAGAAGATTGAAAAAATGTTGCCTGGTCTGATGAGTCTTGATTTCTGCTGCAACATTCGGATGGTAGGGTCAGAATTTGGCGTCAAGAACATGAAAGCATGGATCCATCCTGCCTTATATCAACCGTTCAGACTAGTGGTGGTGGTGTAATGGTGCGGGGGATATTTTCTTGCCACACTTTGGGCCCATTAGTACCAATTGAGCATCATGTCAACACCTCATCCTACCTGAGTTTAGTTGAGTTTAGGCCTCCACAGTCACCAGATCCTCAATCCAATAGAGCACCTTTGGGATATGATGGAACGGGGGTTTCACATCATGGATGCACAGCCGACAAATCTGCAGTAACTGTGTGATGCTATCATGTCAATATGGAGCAAAATCTCTGAGGAATTTTCCAGTACCTTTAAGGATTAAGGCAGTTCTGAAGGTAAAAGGGGGTTCAACACTATACTAGTAAGGTGTACCTAATAAAGTGGCCAATAAGTGTATATTACTGCCTGTCCGAAACAAATATATTTCAATATTAAATAGGCTAATAATCAGGGGGATTATTAATTACTGTTCTTCGCCACTCTGCCACCACTACATTCCTTTATAGGATTGATTAATAAAGTCTGATTTACTACACATGGTATTCGCCTTTGAGTGGACTTTTCCGCTTATAGCCTGTGAGATTTCATTGTAGGAATCAATGTTTACAACCTCTTAGAATGAAAAATTCCATCAATGAAATGCAACCAAGTTCCTTATATTCTATGGCACTTTTGTATAGTTTTTATACTATAGTATAAAAATAACTAAAGAATACTGGGGTCTGTGGGGTAGTATACAATTTTGGTCAACTAAATTATGTGAGAATGAGAGTGTGTATGAGTGTTTCCCAGTCCTGAGATGCAGCTAGAAGGGCATCCACAGCATAAAACATATGCCAGAGTAATTGGCGGTTCATTCTGCTGTGGCGACCCCTGATAAATCAGGGACTAAGCCGAAAGATAGTGAGTGAGTGGGTTTTCGCAATCAATTCATGTTTATCACACAGGTTTGGTGGACTAAACCAGTGTTTCTCAACCATGTTGCAGGAGGACCACCAGTTCTGCACATTTCCATGTCTCCTAAACCAGTGGTTCTCAAAGTGGGGGTCAGGACCCCCCAAGGGGTCGCGGGACAATGAAGGGGGGGTCGCCTGGTGATTTTTAAAAATCAATTAATTTTTATTAAACCTTAAGACTTACTGTATTATATCAATAACCTACTGAAGAGAAAAAAATAGTCGTTTATAGTTACTATAAACTATATAATTACTATAGTAGCTTATAGTTACTAGTTCTATTGGATTGCGACTTCTCGGGTAATTACATTATATTAAAGACACAGCAATACTGTCAGATGCAGCAGATTTTGTAACACCAGGTTAAACTTTCTAGCCCATTTACAGCACTGACATACATAAAAAAAAAAACAAAGAATAGACTTGGGTCTATTGGTGTGTTTGTGTGCGTCATTGCATACAAGGTTTCTGTATTTATAACCACCACCTCAGAGAATATTGGGGGTCACGAGTCACTGGCATTGTCATTTTGGGGGTCGAGGGCTGAAAAGTTTGGGAACCCCTGTCCTAAACCAAACACACCGGATTCTGATCATGAGCTCATTAGCAGAGACTGGAAGACCTGTATTGGGTGTGACAGGCAAAGAAGACATCCAAAACATGCAGTGCTGCTAGTCCTCCAACGTGGTTGAGAAACACTGCACTAAACAACAGAAATAAACAACAGAAACCCACAGCAATACAGGGGGAATATACTAAATCCACACAGAAACACTAACTGGTACAGCTGGGACTCGAACCAGCGACCTTCTTGTTGTAATGCGACAGTGCTAAGCCGTCGTGCCGCCCCACTAACACATCTTAAACCAAATTAATATGACTTGCAATAAAACATACAAAGTGTAGTCTGCCATAGTAAGGTTGTACTATCCATTATAATGCAGTCATAAATAATGAATGAAAACACTCACAGCCAATTTTCGTGGTGGTATCAGGGATATTGCTGCTGGCGTCAGTCCTTCCACTTGCTCTTTTATAAGTGCAGACAATACCATGTCCTCCAGCCCGGCTGTGAACAGAGAATCCAGTTTGTCTTATTCTCTTTATGAGCTTGCCCATTTTGACATGCGTATATTGTCCGCTGAACTGATTGTAATCGAATCCACAGTCAGTACCTGCCAAAGTCCCAATCTCGGTGAAGACCTCGGAGCCCCAGTTGCTGACTGGACCAAAGCCCAGAGGATTGGATATTCGTGACGTCAGCGCCTCGGTCTGCTGCTCAGAACACGGCAGTACAATCTCCCCCAGAAACAAAGCAGCAACACTATTGAACACACGACACAACGTAAAGCTCTCAAATATATCGAAGCGTATCGTATTGTGTTTGGAATCAAATCGTTTCGCCCTGACCTCAGGTTGAACGGGTCAAGTCTGGATATTTCCGAAGGAGTGAAACCACAAAGCAAATGTCCAAGAGAGACGAGCTCCACAACACCAAGTTCTTCAGGTTTCCATTTAAGTCTCTTCATTATGCCAAGAACAACTGCTCTCATCTGTAAAATAACGAACTAGAAGTGATGCAGTTTCCTCCATTTAAAGGGATAGTTCACACAAAACTGAAAATTCTGTCATTGTTTACTCACTCTTCACTTGTTCCAAACCTGTTTGCGTTTCCTTCTTCTGTTGAACACTACAGAACAGGGTTTCTGCAGGTTTCAAAGTCAAATAAGGTCTTTATAAGACCTTTTTAAAACCACAAAGAATGAAATTTCAGACCTATATAGTGCTAAACGCCAAGGCTTTTTCCAAAAGTTTTATTGAGATGGATTGTTAGTGATTAGGTGTTGGCTTGTTTGGATAGCTTTGCGAGGACATAGGAAAATTAAGACCCGGTTAAAATCATTTAACTCTTATGAACTGTTGGGGACGTTTTTATCAACTCTGGGGTGATTTTGAGTCTTAGGGTGCTTTCACACTTGGACCGTACCCAAGTTCGATTGTCCCCCCTTGCCACCTTCTCAGTTGGTTTGTGTTTACACTGTCTTTTTTCCTACTGTACGCTTGCATCATCGAGCTACTGTTGTGTGTGCTGCTGTTGCTAACTGACGTACACGAAAGCAAAGCGCCAAAATTGAAAGATGTCCGCACATTGTGGTCGTTCTGCTTTTACTGAATTTTTTGGTTTTGGACAAACAAACTCGCATCTATCAGCCGCAAAAATATTATAAAGGTTCAGAACATCACGCGATGTCTGCAGAATCTGTTTTTGGAGGAGACAAGCAGACATTATCACTGTATTTGCCCTGGCTCAGTCCAGCTTGTTGCCAAGGTACAGTACATGATATGCACACACACACACACACACATACACACACACACACACACACACACACTAATGAACATTATGAAAACTGTAGTTTGTTGTACTATTGGAAGTTCACTTCCATTATTTGGTACGATTGCATTCATACCAGAAGTGAACCGGACCAGATTTCGTGTGAACCGTACCCCAGACTAGAGATCTGCGCGGGACTAAATTTAAAAAATTTAAATTTACGCTCCCGCCAGGTTTTAATCCGAACATTTGTTGTCCCGCTGCCCATCCCGCCCCGTTTTCTACCCGCCACGCCCATTCCCACTAACGGAGGAGGGGTGACAAAACCGTACAAAACCAAAAACCACCCAGCTATACAGAGTCCAGACAGCCTATAACAAGCTGTCTGTATAAACACACACACACACATAGACATACAGCACCAAGCAAGTGACACACAGACAGCACCACATTCTCTCTCATTCACACACACGCACACACACACACACACACACACACACACACACACACACACACACACACACACACACACACACACACACAGACAGCACCAAGCTCTCTCTCTCATATTCACACAAATACACACACACATAGACAGCAACAAACAAGCGAAACGCAGCACCACGCTCTCTCTTTCACACACATACATACATGTGCTCGGGAGTAGGGAGCGATATTGTTACATCACCCGCTCCTGTTCAAATTACACCAGTTACCGACCGCTCCCACGCTTTATTCGGAAATGCAGACCTCTTCCCCAGACCACCTCTTTCACGGTTCCCGGGTGCGCACTTGAGTTCAAAAGACACGTTCACACAAGCTAGCCGTACTCTGACATTAAATGAAGCCGTGTGAGAACCAAAAGTGCTAGTGTGAAAGCACCCTTAATTTGGCCATAACTTTTTCCGTTTCAGCTAGTAGAATGATTTTGGTGACAAATCTTAGTTTGACACATATTTTGAGAAAATGCTCATAAATACTCATAAATACTCTCTTGGCAAATTCACTACCCTTTTGTTACGTTTAAGATGAAAACATCCACTGAATTGAACTGCTGTTACATTTTTTTCATAAATGTGTTAATCAACTACAGTCCTGATCAAAACTACCAAATTGCTTAGAAAGTTCCAGGATTTTAACTCTTTAATTGGCAAAAATTATAAATAGTATCACTGATTTGGTGAGTAAAACACACGATGCTGACGTAATGACGTATTTTTAATATAAAAGTAATTGTGGACTGGATTTTTTTTACCTTTTATCAAAGTCTTGGACGTAAATCAACATTGCCTTTGATGCATTGTTTTTGCTTTATTTTTATTTTTTCTCCCTTGACTTCCAAGATAACCACATTTGTTTAATTGCAAATTCATGCCACAATATATAATCATGCATTCTTGATTGTTGGTGCCTTTACCTGCTGGGAAGAGGTAAAATTTGTAATTTTACTGTTGATCATCAGTTGGCACCATTAACCCTTTAGATAGACATGTGCAAAAAAAGCTTAGTTCTGGGTTTTATAGAGTAAACCAGCTAATTAAAGTGTATGCAAGTCTTCGAATGTGAAAGTGTGAAAGTGGTCTTTGCGCAACTGCCTTGATGTGAGTGAGAATATTAAAATATGCATCTAAGCTCTCAGAACTACATGAAGTAAACAAAGACTGTGTATTTATGCACAATCAGATGTGGTTATAATGGAAGTCAATGGGGCAAAAACCTCCACCAACAGTAAATTAAGGAGAAAAAATTAAAATCTAACAATGCATCAAAGCCAAGAGTGATCAAAGATAAAAAAGTCCCGTCCACAATTACTTTTAATATTAAAAATACGTCATTTTGTGTGTGTGTGTGTTTTTTTTTCATCAAATCAGTGACATTATTATGAATTTGACAATTCATAATGATGACAAGTAATTTTTGAAAACATTTAGTAATTTTGATCAGGACTGAGGTTGATTAACAGATTTATGCAAAAAAATCGGATGCATTTTTTACAGCAGGGTTACAAAGGTTAAGAAGGACAATACAATATTTCAGAGACTTTAATACTTTGTAAGGCCTAAAATTTAGTTTTCGAAATGTAAAACATTTTAAGACTCCACAAACATCCTGAAAGAAGATACTGTATGTTAAAGAAAGCTGGAAACCTATAACCATCAACTTCCATAGTATTAGTTTATCTTAATTATTTCGTACTTTTCAGCTTTCCTCAGCATAGCTTTTTTATTTTTGAATAGAATATTGAAACCTGTAAAGGTTTGGAACCCCTTAAGGGTGAGTAAATAGTGAGCAAATGTTCATTATTGGGTGAACAATCCCTTTAAGTTTCGAATTAAATTCAAGTCAATCTTTAAAAGATAGAATAAAAACACATACTTTCTTAGCGTTCCACCCATTGAGGTCCCCAAGATGGGCTACTACACCCAAACTGGACAGATTGACAGCTTGTAGCTCTCTTTCGCCCATTTCAGTCACTATACAACCCAGTTCCAACACCTGTTCTGGTTTAAGCTGCTTCACTGGTTTATACACCTAAGAGAATGATTGTTGTGTGAGATTTTAAGTTCATTTCATAATCACTGAACAGCATTTGGTGTACAAATGTCTTAACTGGTCTGAGTTCCATCCAAAGTGCTTCACGTTGCTCGTCATCAAGTGTGTCATCCTGGCCGATGAACTCAACACAAGTCTTCAGCTCTCTCCTCTTCATTCGTTTTAGCTGATAGGACCTCCAGGCTGAGGGAAATGTCCCTTTAATGTCTGCACAGCTTGGGATGGGCCCTAGTAAAGAAACAATATATGGTTTACGGCAGCGGTTCTCAAGCCTGGTCCTCACGACCCCCCCGCTCTGCTCTGTATGTTAATCTCAATACTGTAGAAGTTTGTTCCATTTAACTGCAAGTGCCCTGCAAAGTAGACATTACAGGATATTCTGTCATGATTACATTTCGAAAGAAGCGTGTATTGAATTGAATTTATTGAATGGGATAGCCTCTTGAGATGAATCAACTCATTTTCGAGGGGGTCCCTAAAATTCAACAATTCAAACTAGTGATGGGTTGTTCTTGAACGATTCATTCATTTTGAACAAATCTTATATGTGACTTGAGAACGTTGAGTCCTCACAGGGAGTTATTAGTTCATTGCACAGGTGGGGGTGATTAGTTCCTTTTTGAGTTTTCGATCGGGTTTGAGTGGTTAATTCATCCCGTGAAAGACAGAAGCCAATCATATGTAACCAGAGCCGGAAAAAGATTTGATCCGTTCATTTGATTTGAGTGCTCAGTTTGAGTCATCTCTTTACATGCTGTCAAAAACCTGAAGACTCAAAAGGTGAACTAATCATAGGTCCTTTCGGTTCAGATTGTGTGCATTGGTCAAGCTTATATGGGACTGTCAGTGTCTTGTGAACGAATGCCTCAAATTTGAAACTTACACAAAACTACGGAGAAAATGTGGGTAGTGTGGTGACGCAATGACGAATTATGTAAAACGGGATTATGAAAGGAACATTCAACAAACAACCCATGTAAACACCTTAATCATATTATTGTCTTATTCAGATTAAGCAAATAATTTGATTTCTGTGTCCATGTAAACGTAGCCAGTGACAAAAGACCGAGGTAAACAATGATTGATTATTTTCTCTTTCTTATAGCTTTCTAGTTATGACTTGTTTGTAGTGTGATCAACGTTTGGGCTAGTTGTAGATGTGTTTGGAAGCAACTCGTATTGTTTTAGTAAGATTTTAGTAAATTGAACGTAATGATTCGTTCATCTCGATGAACGAGACTCAAAGGTCCTAGTCAGTAGGTGCTTTCTACTTCAACCATGGGTGCAGCTGGTGATTAACGAGATTAGCCGAGCGCAGGCGGGGGAGAAGTTGAAAATGTAATGTAATGTAATATAATGTAATGTGTATTTATATAGCGCATTTATTGTGTATGGCCGTACACCCAAAGCGCTTCACAATCATGAGGGGGGTCTCTCCACACCACCACCAGTGTGCAGCATCCACTTGGATGATGCGACGGCTGCCACAGGACAACGGCGCCAGTGCGCTCACCACACACCAGCTATTGGTGGAGAGGAGAGACAGTGATAGAGCCAATTTGGTGGAAGGGGATGATTGGGAGGCCATGATCGTAAGGGCCGATACAGGGACTTTGGCCAGGACACCGAGGTTACACCCCTGCACTTTCACAAGAAGTGCCATGGGATTTTTAATGACCACAGAGAGTCAGGACCTCGGTTTAACGTCTCATCCGAAAGACGGCGCCCACTGACAGTGTAGTGTCCCCTTAACTTTTACTGGGGCATTAGGACTCACACAGACCACAGGTTGAGCGCCCCCTGCTGGCCTCACTAACACCGCTTCCAACAGTAACCTAGTGTTCCCTAGTGGTCTCCCATCCAGGTACTGACCAGGCTCAGCTCTGCTTGGCTTCAGTGAGTAACCGGTCTTGGGCTGCAGGGTGACATGGCTGTGGCTGTGAAATGGAGCCGGACACTTCGGTGCTCAAAGTTGCAGCAGTCATGATGATCAATCACATGTCATCATCATCATTTTTAATTTTTTTTAAAATAAGAACAACAAAAGATTTACAATACAAATAAAACAATACAGTCTCTACAGACTATAGTTCATTTTTAAGCAATAAGCGAATTATGAATTAAATATATAACAAATGCATGAGAGAAATAAGAGGAAACGAGGGTAATATAAACAAAAACGAATAGCCTATTAAATACAAAGCAATAAGCATGAGTTTAAACATCACTCTAGGCTAATAATTCTTGAATATGCTTAAAGGATGTTTACATTTATTTACATGTATAGATATAAAACTTTCCAAAATATATTAATGTAAAACCCAAAACAAGGTGTTTTGATTAAGTCTTAAACAATGATTAAGATTATTTTGGATAATAAAAGCATTTTCCTGATATAAGTAAGCTACACTTTAACAAGTTACATCAATGTCATTTGTAAAACATGCATAAATGGCTAGACTGGAAATATTTAAGATGTGACTTTTATGAAAACTAATGATTACAGTACACCTTTCATAATTCTGTAATAAGTTTCATCTAAAGATGCTGCAAACAAATGAGCCCTCACATCCTCCGCTCGTTTTGCACCTGCACTGTGGAGAGCATCCTGACTGGCTGTATCACCACCTGGTATGGAAACAGCACCAGCAGCAATCGCAAAGGCCTACATAGGATTGTGCGAGCTGCTGGACGCGTAGTAGGAGGTGACCTTCCCTCCCTTCAGGACATCTACACCAGGCGGTGCATGAGGGAAGCCAAGAGAATTATCAGCGACTTCAGCCACCCAAGCCATAGACTTTTCTCTCTGTTACCCTCAGGCAGACAGCATCCGGTCACGCACTAGCTGGCTAAAGAAAAGTTTCTTCCCTCAGACTTTTAGGCTGACAAACACTTAACACACCCCATGCAGACTCTTCCATACCCCTCACTGCACACCATCGATATGTAGCATGCATTGCAATTTAACCAATTCATACTTGAAACAATACTGCCTACAACTATGCATAACCTATTCATTGTACATATCACTGTCAATTTTACATTGTCCTGTTTTTTTGGCAGTATGCTGTTGTATTTTGCTCTGTCTGTATTTTGCACTGTCATTGTATTTGCACTGTGACATCTGTATTTTGTTCAGTCTGGAGCCAGCACCTAAGCTTTTTATGATGATGTGTCAATAAAAGTGATTTGATTTGATTTGAAACAGTGTAGTGCAAATCTTTGTTTTAAAATGAAGAAAACTTCAAGTTCAGACGACTTTCTCTGTGCAGGGGGTAGAAAGCACTGAACACTAACGTCAATTGAAACAGTTTTTTTTTCTTAAAGCTCTCTTATAACTTTATTAGTTATCGAAATCAGGAGTCATGAACTACCTCGTTTTTTTATTTGTACTCTTCTTCTGTTTGTCTACTTATATTGTTACCAAGATTTCTCTATCAAAAACATCATAATTTTGAAATAATTGAGTATTTTTCTGAATTGTTTTTGACCCTAATCGGCAAAACACTGTTTAAATGGGCATGGTTGATTTAGACTCTGATTTAGACCCATTGTTCTGATTGGCTGACAGTTTTGCATATCAAAAGAGCTAAACAGGAAGTGAAGTACAAGTGAGCATCAACAATCATCATCATCATCAAAAGTCATTTAACTTGGCGGCCATGTTTGAAACAGGCATCAAATTCTATAAAATTGTTTGCTAAGTTTACGATTAAATATCATATCAGGAATCACCAATAACATTAAACAACAACTGTCTCTTTAGTTTAATTTTTAAACGTTCGAATCACACAAAATCAGCAGAAACTCACATCTGGTCTGATCCCCTCCCCCAGAGAATCATCAGTCTATATCGATGATTGGCTCCTGTGCTAGAAGGCGGGGCTTCATTCTCCGTTATGTATTTTATAGTCTTTGGCATCAATCATCTGTGGAGGCAAAGCTTATCCACTGGTTTTGTCAGACTTCCTTTAAAATAAGCTGATATTAGAAGAACCACAATGTGTTGAGCTCTGAAACTTGCAGGATGTTTTTATAGTATTTTGAGATCTTATATGTCAAAACATCAAGGAAATTTTGGTTTCTTATCTCATCCCCCCTTTAAACAACAGAGACATGCATAATGTCAAAGACTATAGAATACACAAGACATGTCACTTGTATACTTTTGAATAGGAAAAATAGTAACGGTCAATATGGCGAATGAACAACAGCAGCCAATCATCGATTGTTATAGTCTGACGATTCTCTGCAGGAGAGGATCAGACCAGACGTGAGTTTCTGCAGATTTTGTGTGATTCGAATGTTTAAAAATGAAACTAAAGTTGTTGTTTAATTGTATTGGTGATTCTAATATGATATTTAATCATTAGCTTAGCAAGAAATTTTGGAGAATTTGATGTTTCCCCATTCAAACACAATGTTGTGTTTGAGACCGAGAGATGTTTCAAAGATGGCTATCGAGTGAAATGACTTGCCTTAAAGGGAGCAGAGCGAGGGGTCGCAATGACCAGAAATGAGAACCACTGGTTTACAGTACCTCTCTAAAGGGAACATCTGAGGGATTCTGTGAATGAACACAGAACACGACTCACCGCGTCTCATCCACCATCGACCTTTAATGATCCTGTGGATGAGGACGTTCATCTTTTCTCGTAATCCCTTTAAGTCCCAGCAAGCTTCTCCCAGTTCGCTGTTTTTCCAAATCCACTGGCTCATCAGAACCTGCTCAACCGTGTCTTTACCTAAATCACCCTTGAAGGGAAAATGTAGGTTTAACGTGATGATATCCTGAGCCTTTGGTGTTAGGTTGTGTTCACACTTGGCAGGTTTGACTAAAACAAACTTTTGTGCGATGGCTTTATTAGTGTAGGTTGTATGAATACGTATAAACGCTGCCATCCAAAACCTGGAGTGTACCAAATGAGCGGTCCAGGACAACTAAAAAGATGTCTACATGAACTCAACTGACATATGAATGGAACATATGGTGTAACAACATTTAAACAATATAAAAAACAGGATATCACAAGAGGAGTCATGCCTAGCACAATGCAATTTTAAATCTCTCAGTTTGGACTGTCAGAAATGGCAGTATGAATGCTAAACAAACTATAAATCCAATGTTTGTTTGTTTTTTTGTCCAAATAAAACAAACAAGACAACAGTACCTTTAAAGGGCCATGACACCCCCCACTTTCGGTTAAAGTCTACTTCAGAATTTTTTCAAAAGATGCATGATTGATGGGCGTGGAGCTCCGCGAGCATCGGGCAGGAGTGGGCGTGGCCAGCAGGGGAAAAGGGGAGCGAACGACTGTTGTTCTCAGTTAGCTCACAAAATGAGACAAACCGTGAGGAGATGCATGAGTTTATAGTTTACAAAGTTAAAATGCAAAGAAATTAACAGTGATTTAATGCCCTGCTACATTTGTTATTCGTAATTTCATATACAGACAACCACAATTTATATCATTATAAAGATAAGTGTGTTCATGTAAACTATAAATGAGGACTTCTCCCTCAATCCCCGTATTCAGCAGACTCAGTGCAGCAGGTCTCCTGACCTGTCTATTTTAACCATTAACCCTGCTGTTAATCTGGAGGATTTAGGCAAACACAGCAGCACGGCGATGTGTCTGAATGTGAACGAACTCCTGATAAAACACAGCGTCCGCCATTCTCTAATTCTTGTGCTGCTCTCCCGACAAAAATGCTAGCAGCACGCACACAGCTTTGCTGTATGATCGGCCCTGACAAGATAGCGGGGGAAAACATGCAACAAACCCCGTGGATCATGGAAACAAACACATACGAGCCTTCATGAACGGCTCAACACTGTGCCGTGGTTTCCGTGTCTCTCAGCTCGGGCTTGACACTGGCAGGTCTCATGAATAATTAAGCAGCCGGCTCTTCTCATAGGATAAGAAAACTCCGCTATGAACAATAATGAGAAACCGACGCGTCATCATTGCACTTGCAGTACTGCGCTACGTCGCCGATTTTGATCCCGCCCCAAAAATCATTTTAAACCCGGAAGCTGAAATTAGCTGACAAAAGCTCAAAATTATCCAGTTTTCCCCACAATTAAAGCTGACAGGAGCTAACATTGTCTTAACTGATGCTCAACACACACACATCTGTTAATATAAAAAAAAAGTTCTCCGGGGTGTCCTGAACCTTTAAGTGTGAACACACAACTTAAAAGTACAAATCAAACACTGAATGGAGTATTCAGCATATATATTTTTAAATAAATGTATCTTCAAGATGTCTACTATAAAAGTAAATGACATTCTCTTCTCATCTGAAATCAGCCAGCTTAAGCAATTTACACTCACCAGCCACTTTATTAGGTACACCTTACTAGTACTGGGTTGGACCTCCTTTTGTCTTCAGACCTGCCTTTGTGGGATAGATTCAACAAGGTACTGGAAATATTCCTCAGAGATTTTGGTCCATATTGACATAATAGCATCACACAGTTACTGCAGATGTCTGAATGTGTGAATCTCTTGTTCCATCATATCCCAAAGGTGGTCCATTGGATTGAGATATGGTGACTGTGGAGGCCATTTGAGTACAGTGAACTCATTAGCCCCTTTTCACACAGACCTTTCCGGAAAATTACCAGCAATTTTCAGGAAAGGTCTGTATGTGTGAACAGGAACAGGCCCTTCAGCAATTTTCAGGAAAGAGAAGTTGTAACATTACAGGTAATTTGCCAGAATGCTGTGCTGTGAATGCAGAGGGAAGATTGCCGGAAAGAGCGTGTGCACGTCTAGGATGTGAGATGTCTACTTTAGCCAATCAGAACAGTCAGACGCATTCACAGCCGGTTTATGAAAATAAAAACCTTTGAATATTTTTCCAGAAACATTTAGCTGCTAGATGTCAGTCAGATAACATTTCTACAGTATGTTCCTTCTAAATGCCAACTGTGTAAATAATTATGGATAAGGTGCTTATGATAAGCTGTTGTTTGTTTACCTTCAAGTTCTACTTTCTTCAGTTGCTTTGAGCATCGCGTGTGCCCGTGAAGCAGCCCGTGAGCGCCAGGCTGCCAGCACACACACATATCATGTACATCTCAACATGTGAAAGTGTTCCTCTATGTTTCCATCTAAGCTGTTCACAATACTTCTCCTCCATCCACAGAGTTTGTAATGTAGTCAAATGTTTACAAACACATTCTGATGTCAGAATTTATCGGTATTTTGGAGTGGATGTGTGAATGGTCTTTACCGGAACAATCCCGAAACGTCCTCGCCTGTGTGAACAGCGCTTTTTTGAACTTACCGGTAAAGTCGTTCTGTAAATTCTCTGTATATTTACCAGTCTCACTGTGTGAAAGGGGCTATAGTCATGTTCAAGAAACCAGTCTGAGATTATTTACGCTTTATGATATGGTGCGTTATTCTGCTGGAAGTAGCCATCAGAAGATGAGTACACTGTGGTCATAAAGCAATGGACATGGCCAGCAACAATATCAGGTAGGCTGTGGTGTTGACATGAGGCTCAGTTGGTACTAATGGGCCTAAAGTGTGGCAGGAATATACCCCCAACACCATTACACCACCACCAGCCTGAACCGTTGATACAAGACAGGATGGATCCATGCTCTCATGTTGCTGACGCCAAATTCTAAGCTTGAATGTCGCAGCAGAAATCGAGACTCATCAGACCAGGCAACATTTTTTCAATCTTCTATTGTCCAATTTTGGTGAGCCTGTGTGAATTGTAGTCCCAGTTTCCTGTTCTTAGCTGACAGGAGTGGCACCCGGTGTGGTCTTCTGCTATTGTAGCCCATCTGCTTCAAGGTTGGGTGTGTTGTGTGTTCAGGGATGCTCTTCTGCATAACTCGGTTGTAACTAATGCTTATTTGAGTACTGTTACCTTTCTATCAACTTAAATCAGTATGGCCTTTCTCCTCTGACCTCTGGCATCAACAAGGCAAATTGCGCCCACAGAACTGCCGCTCACTGGATATTTTCTCTTTTTCAAACCATTCTCTGTAAACCCTAGAGATGGTTGTGTGTGAAAATCCCAGTAGATCAGCAGTTTCTGAAATACTCAGACCAGCCCATCTGGCACCAACAACCATGCCATATACAAAGTCACTCAAATCTCCTTTCTTCCCTATTCTGATGCTCGGTTTGAACTGCAGCAGATCATCTTGACCATGTCTACAAGCCTAAATGCATTGAGTTGCTGCCATGCAATTGGCTGATTAGAAATTTGCGTTAATGAGCAGTTGTACAAGTGTACCTAATTAAGTGGCTAGTGAGTGTATTTTTTTATTGCCTACAAAAGAAACCATTGTTATACAATGATTTACCTAATTACCATAATAACTCTAATTAACCTTGTTAAGCCTTTAAATGTCACTTTAAGTTGAATACTAGTATCTTGAAACATATCTATATCTAAAATATTATTTACTGTCATCATGACAAAGATAAAATAAATGAGTTATTAAAATTATTTATTTAGAAGTCTGTGAAAAAAAATCTTCTCTCCGTTTAACAGAAATTGGAGAAAAAATATACAGGGGGCTGAAAATTCTGACTTCAACTGTACATCAATAATAAAAGGAAAATTAAATGGTCACAACTTTACCTTCATGCAGACTTCAATAACAATGCTTGTGTTTTGTGCTTACCAGTGGTAATGATCTGATCTGCTGAGGTGAAAGTGTGAAAAGAAGTCTTCCCACATGCTCGACATCTCCAACCGTCCATGTTTTTGGTTCTCTATTTCAAACCATAGAAACACTGTCAGATTCCCAGCAAAAAAAAGTAATTTGTATTTTGCTTGCACAACGCATAAACACAACATTTTGCAGCTGCTGTCAGAACAGAGAGGATGTCAACAACATGAAAATGGAATAACTTCGCCTCAGGTCTCACCCCAGCATGCTCTTCTCTGTAAGCAAAGCTGATATTTGTCGGAAGGTGTCAGAGGGCAGGCAATATTGTTTGAGCTCCTCCAGTCGCAGTTTCAGAGCATCTCTGTCGATGTCATCTAACACATCCCTGTCCAGAAAGGGCAGAAGAGGGCCGAGGATGTCCAAGGAGACTCCGGTGAGGCCATCTTCAGAGATGCCCTTTAAAAAGATATTGAAGAATTGGATGAAAGCAGAACAAGAATGTGTTTTATCAAAGTCTGCAAAACCTGAGTGACATACATTCCTGTTCAAAAATGTAAAGTTGTGGGTTTTTTACATTTATGCAATGATTGATACCTGAAGAGTTCAGATGTAAAAGCCTCTAAATGCCATCTGAAATGTTCGTCTAAAGATAGCATTTATTTTTTTCAGGTTTCTATGATCCGTATGTTCACTTTTATGGTAAAGAATATGTTCTTTTCACAGCCTTTAAATTGGAATAACTGATCATAAATACTGGATGTTGAGTATAATGCAAATTTTAAAAGAAAATGTCGGACAGCACTTAAGAGGTTTTTGCTCTTAACTTGTACTCAGCACAAACGACAGAAAGTTACAACAGGGTGCCCAAACTTTTTCTTATAAATAAATAAATAAATAAATAAATAAATAAGCAAGCTCCAATATAAAGGCAATAACTACGACAAAGACAAAGCCCCTGACAGCCTTTCAAAGATCAAGTATGTATGTTTCAATTAATGCCCAGGTCTGTTGGAAAACGTCTGATTTCAACGGCAAATCTGCAATCATTTTCTCATATATATATATATATATATATATACAGTTGAAGTCAGAATTATTAGCCCCCCTTTGATTTTTTTTTTCTTCTTTTTTAAATATTTCCCAAATAATGTTTAACAGAGCAAGAAAATTTTCACAGCATGTCTGATAATATTTTCCCTTTTGGAGAAAGTCTTATTTGTTTTATCTCGGCTAGAATAAAAGCAGTTCTTAATTTTTTAAACACTATTTTAAGGACAAAATTATTAGCCCCTTTCAGCTAATTTTTTTTTTCAACTGTCTACAGAATAAACCACCATTATACAATAACTTGCCTAATAACCCTAACCTGCCTAGTTAACCTAATTAACCTAATTAAGCCTTTAAATGTCACTTTAAGCTGTATAGAAGTGTCTTGAAAAATATCTAGTAAAATATTATTTACTGTCATCATGGCAAAGATAAAAGAAATCAGTTATTAGAGATGAGTTATTAAAACTATAATGTTTAGAAAAGTGTAGGAAAAAAAAATCTCTCCGTTGAATAGAAATTGGGGAAAAAATAAACAGGGTTTCTAATAATTCAGGGGGGCTAATAATTCTGACTTTAACTGTATATCTGTTTCGACCTCTGTGTCCATTCTGTCTTAGTAGGTTGGCGGGTCTTCATCCAGTTCACTGTATTTATTTTCCTAGCTATTATTAATAATATATGTAGTGCAAATAGGTGAGACTTACTGAATTGATCAGGGATAAAGCCATCAAGCAGATAAAAATACTGGGTGCATTGGTATGTCATATCCTAAGACTCTTCTAATGTCCCTGTTAACCTCCTGCTTATACACTTGTATTTTGGGACACTCCCAAAATATGTGAAGGATGTCAATCTGATGTTTTGAAATCAAAGTAGTCAATTGATGTCAAATTGATTTGCATTTGTGACATGCTTTTGATCATCAAGTTGCACTGAGAGCAAACATGTGTTTTTTACAAAATATTTGCTGTTATTTCAACATTTTTTAAAGCAGTTTCCACAAAAACAATATTAAGCAACTCAACCTAATATTTTTAGTATGTTGTGAAATGTTTACCTTAACATAAAATCAGTAAGTTTTGTGAATGTGACACTGAAAAGCAACGTAATGGCTGCTTTTATAGAAACATTTTAATGTATAACATATGAAACAGAAAAGAAATAATATGTTTATGTCTGGTATAAGCTTAAAAATACCATGGTACTCCAAAATGTTTCAACTATTATACCCTGTTAAAAGTTTTATATTGTAGTAACATTTCACAAAGCTACTGTTTCCACTGTATTTATATCCAATGTGCTCATAAAGGATTCAATGATGAAATGTTGAAGATCTGCAATAATTCCAGTCTTACGAGTACGTCAATAGCTTTCTCTGCCAGAGCCGTTTGTTTGTGTCGTGGAAGCTGCAGGAAGTCAATGAAGTGTTGTCGAACATGCTCCAGTACGCCTATGAGTGAGGAGTTAGACAGGTGCTCCATCATGGTCAACCTTTGAGACCAAATACAACAATAAGTCCCTGCAAGTAAGAAGAAGAGCAAAACAAACAAAAGGATTGTGGGTAGCACAGAATTGATCTCACGGTAAGCTTGCAGCAAATGAGGGGTCCAAGTCGTTTAGATCAATATCAGGCTGTTGCTGCAACTCCAACACAATGCATTTCCTCTGTGGAAACATAAAATTTGATGGAATCATAAAATGTCGTTGCTTGTTTGATGCAGAGACACCAAAAGGGATTTTTTAGTAGGTGAGACATGCATTTTAATAATGAAACATTATTTCTCCACCAAACAATTTTGTGTTTAATAGATGTCTAATAGATTAGACAGACTTCACACCTACACTACCTGACAAAAGTCTTGTCGCCTATTTAAGTTTTAGGAGCAACAAATAATAACTTGACTTCTAGTTGATCATTTGGCATCAGAAGTGGCTTAAATGAAAGGCAAAGGCCTCTAGATTACGCTTATTTTACCAAAATAAAATATGATCATGCCTTAATTTTTTTTATTTTTATAATTCAACTTTTTTATTGTTCAACAGCAGTGGTGGAAAGAGTACTGAAAAATCATACTTAAGTAAAAGTACCATTACTTGCCTAAAAATGTTACACCTGGCTCAAGGATGTAACATAATGAGGGAGACGACAAGGAGAAGTATAATCAAAAAGAATATTTATTTAGCTCAATTTAAATTATATAATCAAAATATCAGTATCAGTATGTTCAATCAGTGTGAAATGCAAATGAATGGATGCTGTAAATGTTGTCAGTGATAATGTATGGATGCGAAACAAAGCATAAAGGCCAAATAGGAGCGCGGCTCTGGCCAACTGCCAAGTGAATGGACAGCGGCCCCGACAAACTCTCTGCCGGGGTTTAAATAAGGGCGCTGACCAGCATCAGGTGCGCTGAAGGCACGCCCCCAATCTGGAATCAAAATCAAAGACACAAAACAACAACGCAGTCCTAACAATGATCATGCCTTGATTTTTTTTATTTTTATAATTCAACTTTTTTATTGTTCAACAGCAGTGGTGGAAAGAGTACTGAAAAATCATACTTAAGTAAAAGTACCATTACTTGCCTAAAAATGTGGTGCAAGTAGAGTAAAAGTATCTGTTGTAAATATTACTCAAAGTATGAGTAAAAAGTAGCCCTTTTAAAAGTACTCAAGAGTAGTGAGTAGTGAGTATTACGCTGTAAAAAGCTGATGCATTTACATCTAGTTTGTGGATGTGTGTAAATGTAACATTCTGTAATTCTGTAATAGTTATTGCCCAGGAGGCACACAACATCATAAGAGATTAATACTAGGTTAGATTTAGGTTTTTTAAGTCAGGCGATGGCGAGGCAGTGGTGCAATTGGTAGTGCTGTCGCCTCACAGCAAGAAGGTCGCTGGTTCGAACCTCAGTTCAGTTGGTGTTTCTGTGTGGAGTTTGCATGTTCTCCCTGCCTTCGCGTGGGTTTCCTCCGGGTGCTCCGGTTTCCCCCACAGTCCAAAGACATGTGGTACAGGTGAATTGGGTAGGCTAAATTGTCCATAGTGTATGAGTGTGTGTATGAATGAGTATGTGGATGTTTCCCAGAGATGGGTTGCGGCTGGAAGGGCATCCGCCGCGTAAAAACTTGCTGGATATGTTGGCGGTTCATTCCGCCGTGGCGACCCTGGATTAATAAAGGGACTAAGTCGACAAGAAAATGAATTAATGAATGAAAGTCAGGCGATTAAAATTCAATGTCTAGTCAGCGTCTATGGACTACGTTATTTTGATGTCCAATAACGAAGTCAAATGATGTTGATATTTGGTCGATTTTAGGTTGTGTTGGAAAGTCACCAAAATCCAACATCAAGCCAACATCTTAAACCAACGTCATTGATGTTAGATATTGACATTTGTTTGGCAGGTATGGCAACCAACATCCAACGTCTGATAGACGTCATAGTGGTAACGTCCACACAACACCAAGCTGTAACATCATTAGACATTGATATTTGGTTGATTTTAGGTTGAACGTTGAACATTGACGTAGGCCTGACACTAAGTTCTGACGTCAAATCGATTTTCATTTCCAAACAAAATGCAACTTCCCCATGACATAAGGGTATAACATCTACCTGACCTCATGTTGACATCTTGTGCCTGCTGGGTGTTTAAGGCCATTTCGGTCATCATACAGTAAACATCCGTCATCTTCTCATCAGTGACATGCATCTTAACAGTCTCTGTGTCAATGCGTGTAAAGATTTTGCACATCTTCTTGGACACTTTTAATGCTTTCAAGCAGTTTGCTGCATTTATAAACCGCCCATGGCTTGAGGTAGTACATTATGATGCGATTTACCTTCTATGTGTGATTTGATTGGACGGGAATCACAGGACTGATTTTTCTAATCCCCATAGACAAGAAAAAATAAAGTAGTGAGTGCAGGTTGAAGGAAAATAGTGGAGTAAAAGTACCAATACCGCACTATAAATGTACTCAAGGGAAAGTAAAAGTACACATTTATAAAACGACTTAGTAACTTACAATTCCTGAGAACAACTACTCTATTACAGTAGTTTGAGTATTTGTAATTAGTTACTTTACAACACTGTTCAACAGCAAAGAAACACTTCACACTACACATACATATGATACATGTTACATATTCAGCCACCCATAACACCAAGAAAATTCTACTAAGAAAAACAATGTATAGCAAACATATATGGAAATTTAGGTAGGGTACGTTTTGTAAGTACATACTAATTTATCCTAATTTTAGATGTTTCCAGAGATTATCCCATTTTCTATGTACTTCTCCCTCATTGTTCAATTTCACCAGCATACACTCATACGATTTTCGTTGGGGCCGTGGTACATTGGACCAGCTCTATACCCTCACCAGGGTGCTCGAGGGTTAATGGGAGTATGCCCATCCAGTGCACATGTGTTTTGTGGTCTTGGACATCCAGTCTGTTGTGGTGAAGAAGGAGCTGAGCCGAAAGGCAAAGCTCTCGATTTATCTGGCCAATCTACGTTCCTACTTTCACCTATTGGTCATCATGAGCTTTGGGTCATGACTGAAAGGACAAGAACTAAGATACTAGCAGCCGAAAAGAGTTTCCTTCAAAGGGTGGCAGGGCACACTCTCATAGATAGAGTGAGGAGCTCTGACACCCGGGAGGAGCTCGGAGTAGAGCCTCTGCTCCTCGAGAGAAGTCAGCTGAGGTGGCTCGGGTTTCAGATGCCTCCTGGACACCTACCTAGGGAGGTGTTCCAGGCATGTCCCACCGGGAGGAGAACTCGGGGAAGACCCAGGACACACTGGAGGGACTATGTCTCTCAGCTGGCCTGGGAACGCCTCGGTATCCCCCCGGAGGAGCTGGAGGAAGTGTCTGGGGAGAGGGAAGTCTGCGGTTCTCTCCTAAGACTGCCGCCCCCGCGACCAGGCCCCGGAAAAGCGGCAGAAAATTAATGAATGAACTCTCATACGATGCAATTTCAATCATCCCACTCTTTTTAATCCACTCTTTCATTTCTGACATTCTGTGACACTTCCAATCACGTAGTATCATTCTAGCAGCTGTAATTAATCCAATCTTAAGAAGAATAAAGGAATTTTTACTTATATTAGGTATCACTAGTTTGTCACCCAGAAGGCATAGCCGTAGCTCTACAGGTAACTCACAGTCTAGCCACTCCACCATTATTCTTAAAATTTTACACCAGAATGGGTAAACTAGACAACATTCCCAGATCCTGTGTAAATACGCACCCTCTTCTTTATTGCATTTCCAACACTGATTATTTACAGTTAGTTCCATACTATAGAGTCTGGATTGTGTGTAGTAGTATCTATTTATTATTCATGCCTTGATTTTTAATTTAATTAGGACAGTAAGGTCTGACTTTGCATAGACAAAAGTCTTGTCAAACAGAAATAATGTCCAGTATAGAATATAAAGTCATGCTGCAGTGGAAAAAGAAGTTATATTCAATGCAATGACTCAAATAACTTATTAATAAAGTCACCTGGAAGGGCAAAGAAAGCGTTCTTGCAGGACTCCCACAGTTCATTAAGATTTTAATCAGCTCTCTCACGCCCCCATACTGAATGAAAACCCCAAACCATGATTTGTCCTTCACCAAACATGACTGATTTTTGTGAGATTCTTGGGTTCATGCGGGTTCCAGTAGGTCTTCTGCAGTATTTGTGATGATTGGGATGCAGTCCAACACATGATTCTTCTGAAAAATCGACCTTCTTCCACTTTTCTAAATGATCAACTAGAAGTCAAGCTATTCGTTTTTGCTCTTACAACTGGGACCAGCAATAAGACTTTTGTCATGTAGTGCAGTCATTTATTCCGGTCTTTTTGTAAACTAGTCTAGTTTTGGGATATTCTAAGATGTCCATTTGATTTTCACAGACAGCCCAAATTTTGCTTTGTTTAGATGTCTATTAGATGTCTATTAGGCTTCTTTTAAATACCAAAATTGCTTGCTGAGTTATCATTCTGCTACATTATTTAATCAAAACAATACAATCTCTGCATGATGAATTTACAGCAAATTATTTAATGTTAATACAAAAAAATGGCTTATATCTTACCAAACCAGGTCTAAGTCCTCCTGGTAACGCAGTGATGAACTGCAATAATTCAGAGAAGCCCGAGTCATTTACCCACAGCATCAGCCATTCACAGCTCATACCACCAGCAATACGACCTAAATCCCTTCAGTGGAGAAGAAACATATTTGACTGAATGTTATTAAAATTGAAAGCAATAGAATTGCAAAAAAACAGCATGCATGAATAATGATGTTCAGTTCCAGACTGTGATGATGCTGTTCTATAACAGGGTTTCGCAAAGTCCCAATTGATAGTTTTCACGTCGTCACACCAATAGGGAAAATCCCTCCCTGGGGGGCAAAAAAATGACCGCCGAGTCATAGGCATAGTGATTTCTCTCTATTTTTAATCTGAAAGCCTGATAACTGTTGTGCAATAAAATACAGCATTACTAACTAATGAAGAGACACAGCTGGGCTTTGCTTCAACAGAATTCCCTCATAGAAGAACAGAGAATTGTATGGATTTGTGCCGAATGTCAGCATCATTGACAGAATCATTTCAATCATCAGAATCATTTGTATGCATTTTATACATCTATTCTAATTTACAGGTTAAGTGCAATTAGAGTATAAATTGAAATGCAACGTCAGAGTATAAATAGCAAAAATGAAGGAATGGATTTTCCCTACCTGCAAATATTAATCTAAGCAAAACAAACCAACACCACATAAAAAAATCAGACACTAACGCTGTATAAAGCTGTCAATATAATGACTAAATCGCTGAGTAATATCCATAAGATAGATAAAAACATTGGCGAATTGTAGTTCTGACAGGTACACAAGGGTTTTAAATGACTGAAAAGCAGCTGCGGGTGCAATATATGGATCGCAAGTGCCCACAATTTACAGTTTGTGATCATTTTTCTGTTTTGTTCTGTTGATATGTGATCCACATATCCGTAGCTGGAAACAGATGGAAATATGACTGGATTGTGCAGTGTTTTAATGGAGATCTTAGTGTAGATCTCATTATAATTGAAAGGTCCAAATCTATAACTAAACATGCACATAAATATATATAAAAAATTAAATGTATTTTAAATTTAATAATACATTAATAACAAGTACAAATGTGTAAATTTAAGAGGTTAATTTAAGTGTCAGCTATTTTTATTAAAAAACACAACCAGAGGTAAGTCCCCAGCAGGCACAGGGCATTGGCATATCCCAATGTCGTGGGGACGTTGGATTTTGTTTGGAAATAAAAATCTGGTTGACAACAGCATCCAACATCAGGCCGACGTCAATGTCCAACGTCCAACCTAAAGTCAACCTAAAATCAACTAAATTTCAACATCTAATCATGTTACAACTTGACATTGTGTGGACGTTACCACTATGACATCTATCAGATGTTAGATTTTGGTCACTTTCCAACACAACCTAAAATCAACACAATATCACTATAATTTGACATCGCTATTGGGCGTTTATCTTAGACGCTGGCTAGACATTGAATTTTGGTCCCCTGACATCATGGTCTAAGTATAACCTAATATTAACTTCTTGAGATGTTGTGTGCCTGCTGGGTCATAAGTAACAAGGGGCATAAATACAGAGCAGTCTACTGTGAGAAATTGCACTGTCAGTTTTACATTTGTTGACTACCCTGCTGAAAAAAAAGCTTGGTTAGATGGATTTAACAAGGGGATAGATTGCTTTTTTGAAGAGGGTTTTGGCCACTTCCAAGGTGGTCAGGCTAGGAGACCAGCTGGAATGACCAGGCAAAACCAGCTTTGTCTAGCTTAAACTAGCTAAAACCAGCCTGGAAGTTACTAAAACTATCTTGAAAATGGACAAACCCCCTCTAAAACCAGCTTGAACTAAACCAGAACCAGCCAACTATCTCAGGCCTATTTAAGCTGTTGTTGTTGTATAAATAGCAAAAGTGAAGGAATGGATTTTTCCCTACCAGCAAATGTTAATCTAAGCAAAACAAACCAACACCATCTAAAAAATCTAACACTAACACTCTAACACACGTCTAATCATGTTACATCTTGACATTGTGTGGACGTTACCACTATGACATCTATCAGTTGTGTTATAATGTTGTGCCTGTTGGGTCATAAGTAACATTGGGCAATATTACACTGCAGTCTAATGTGAGAAATGGTGCTGTCAGTATTACATTTGCTTACTGCCCTACTGAAAAAACAGCTAAAACCATCTTAAGCTGGCTGCATGATTTTAACAAGGGGATGAATTGTTTTTGGAAGGGTTTAGAGTAGGAGACCAACTGGAATGACCAGGCAAAACCAGCCTGAAAGTGACTAAAACCATTCTGAAAATGGAGAAACCCCCTCTCAAACCAGCCTGATCAACCAAAACCAGCCAACTCTCTCAGGCCCATTTAAGCTGTTGTTGTTGTATAAATAGCAAAAGTGAAGGAATGGATTTTTCCCTACCAGCAAATGTTAATCTAAGCAAAACAAACCAACACACGTTATATAAAAACTCAGACACTAACACTCTAACATACGTCGTGGGGTTGTTGGATTTTGTTTAAAAATTAAAATCAAGTTGACGTCAGAACCCGTCAGGGTGATGTCAATATCCAACGTCCAACCTAAAGTCAACCTAAAATCAACTAAATATCAACATCTAATCATGTCACATCTTGACCTTGTGTGGACGTTACCACTATGACATCTATCACACGTGTTATAATGTTGTGCCTGTTGGGTCATAAGTAACATGGAGCAAAAATACACTGCAGTCTAATGTGAGAAATGGTGCTGTCAGTATTACATTTGCTGACTACCCTGCTGAAAAAACGGCTTAAACCATCCTAAGCTGGTTGGAGGGTTTTAACAAGGGGATGAATTGTTTTTGGAAGGGTTTCAGACAATGAGACCAACTGGAATGACCAGGCAAAACCAGCCTGAAAGTGACTAAAACCATTCTGAAAATGGAGAAACCCCCTCTAAAACCAGCCTGATCAACCAGACCCAGCAGGCTTATTTAAGCTGGAATTTTTTTTTTTGCAAACTTTTGCTTCTTATTACTAAAATCACACAGAACAGTTTTGTGCTGAATTGGGGCTGAATTACTGTATACCTCTCTGTTTAATCATGTTTGAAAATATTTTACATTATTTTAATCTCTTACACACTGTAAAAAATCTTGCTGTGTTAAAGTTTTTAGATTTTTTTCTAGTCATCTCAATTTACATCAATCAAACTGACTAAAAATAAGTTCGGTTAACCTTTGTGCAGCTTAAAAAATGTAGTTGAAACCTGGTGAACTTATTACAATAATATAAAAAGAACCAAATGATTTGTTGTCTTGACTATTTGTTATTACATTTGTTTCAGTGTGCACAATTACAGTAGTGCTCTTAAATACAAAATGGAGGTGGTCCGGATTGAATTCTCCACAGGTCTGCGGGACTTTGAGAAACCCTGTTCTGTAGTATATCAAACTACATCTGCTGCTAGTCTGAGAGTCAACAAACATAAAGTATAATAATGCTTGATATCACTTACAGTATTGACTCTCTTGTGATGTTTACAGTCCGCTGAATTATCTTGAACAGCATTTGAGCCTGTTGTGTCAAATACAACAAGTGAGTCTGAGAAACTAGATCGTCCTCAAGGTAGTATCTGATACACTTTTGGCTGAGACAAAGTCTCTTTAATGTGGGTGATAATTAATTCATATTGCCTGGTGGATGCTATTGTACCGCATTAAGATCAATTTGCTTGATGGCAGTTGAGGGGCTCGGATTATTAATTTGCTGAAAGGTTCTTTCATAGCATGACAAAGAATCCACCAAAGAATTTGAGATCTGCTTTGTCTGGCAAGCGCAGTACAGGGCACTGAATGTAATGTACATTGTGCAAACACTGAATGGCCAATGCTTCCATGGTTTCTTGGTCATGCTTATGTGCAGTTTAGGGTAGAGTAAGAGATATATGAGAAATCAAACAATCATATATGTTCATTTGCAATTATCATTAACAATAAGGAGCTCCACGATTAACAATTGTGGAGCTGTGCATTAGTGGATTTGCTCTTCAGTGTTTGGACTTTCAGCAGTGAAAATTAAACCAGACACAGTCTACACTGTAAAAGGCTATAGAAATAAACATTAATCGAATAAAGTCTGTCACTGAACAGCATTGGCTGAAGACTTAAGGCTGATTTATACTTTCGCCTGACACCATGAATCACCACTGAGTGCGCATGCACCTCACGAAATGGACGAGGCTTTTACACTTGACACGTTCACAGTTAAGATATTCTTTAAAATGACAGGGAGGAGTCCCACCGTAAAAATCAAACAAATAAGCATACACAGCAAACTCATTAGTGTAATTTAGAGTAAAGTGCTGAAATTCTAGAGTTAGATAAATATAAAATAACCCTCTGAGTGTTAAAAGATGATTTGCCTCCTTGTCATGCAGACTTACAATTATCTAACGCTAATACAGTGTTGACTATTACATCCGGGAGTTTATGCAGCAATAGCCCTGGAGGATTTTTTCAGACGCCATTTTCTTTTGCCACGAGGAGCATTGAGAAGAAGCAACTGGTGAGTAAAATTACTTGTTATGCTTGTATATAGACATTTGATATCCAAATCTTTATAAATATCTCACAAAATAGCCTCATTTTTCATCTTTATTTTGTTTGTACTAGCTATGTTACATTAAAACTAAAGAAAATAAAGCTGTATTAAAACTGCTCCTTTTGGTTTAAAATACGAAAAAATACGGTTTGTGACTGTTTTGAATTGTTTTCCTTAAACATTAACCGAATAGTTAATAAAGTGTTGCTGATGTTAAACAAGATATGTTTTTTATTTCTGTGCGGTGTTGAAAATTTGATCTAAGAGTGTTAACACATAACACTGAGTGGTGTTCATATGATCCTCTGTGGTGTTAATATTTTACACCATAAGAGTTTGCTAATTAACACTCTCTGAGTGTTGATAATAGCCCCTTTCACACAGTGATACCGGTAAATATCCGGAAAATTTCCGGAAAGACTTTACCGGTATATTGAAAAAAGCGCTGTTCACACAGGCGAGGACGTTTCCGGAAAAGAGCATTCACACATCCATTCCAAAATACCGGTAAATTCTGACATCAAATTACAAACTCTGTGGATGATCAGTATTGTGAACAACTTTCGTAGGATCACTTTCGCATGTCGAGATGTTCATAATATGTGCGTGTGCAGGCGCTCACAGGCTGTTCCACAGGCACACGCAAAGCTTGAAGGTAAACAAACAACGGCTTATCATAAACATCTCATCGATGATTATTTACACAGTTGGCATTAAGAAGAACATATAAACGTGATCTGACTAACTTCTAGCAGCTAAATGTGTCTGGAAAAATATTCAAAGGCTTTTATCCTCACAAACTGCGCGGACGTAAATGCGTCTGACTGTTGTGATTGGATAAAGCAGACGTCTCACGTCAGCACGTTCTAGACGTGCACGCGCTTATTACGGGAATCTTCCTTCTGCATTCACACAGCGCAGCATTCCGGCAAATTGCCGGTAATGTTACAACTTCTCTTTCCGGAAAATAGCCAGAACGAATTTACCGGTATTTTCAAAAAGGACCTGTTCACACATACAACCTTTCCGGAAAATTGCCGGTAATTTTCCGGAAAGGTATGTATGTGTGAAAGGGGCTAATGTTAGCTCTTTCAAAAGTGTTATTTTAACACTTTTATAGTGGTTCCCATATAAACTCTGAGGGAGTGTTAATATAAACTCAAAGGTATTTAAATCTACTATGTAAAACTTGTAGTTTAGAAGTTGGAAGTTTACGGAATATGTCATTACTATTGTTCAATATTTTTTAAGGTCCCACTTTATATTAAGTGTCCCTAACTACTATGTACTCACATAAAAAAAATACAATATACTTACTGTGTTTATAATGTATTTGAGAACACTTGTGGTGCTTTTGAGTTGGAATAGAGGTTTGGTTATAGACAGGTGTGGTGGCATGGGTAGGTTTAAGGGTGGGTTAAGGTGTAAGGGATGGTCAATAATGTACTTGCAAAAGTTAATTACAGATGTAATTACATACAGGTATTTAATCAAGCATAAGTACACCGTAAATACATGTATTTACACAATAAGTACATTGTAACATACTATTAATTCCTATGTAAATACATATTAGTTAAGGCCGCTTAATATAAAGTGGGACCTTTTTTAAATATTTTTATAAATTATTTTAATGATTATGAAGATTTTTGTAATCATTCAAGACTTTTTAAATCAAACTCTGATGCATCACTTGCTTTTTTTCATATCCCGGACAGTTCTTCCTATTAAAGTTGATATTAACATATTAATGACAACAGAACATGGGTTGCTCTACAAATATATTATTTATTATGGCAAGAATAAAAGCAAACAAAGGTACACTTACTAAATAATACTAACATTTTTTTTTTTGATTTAGCTCGCTCCACAATCCACACATTACTGTCTGGCTGTATTTCGTGTCCTCTTCTTGTATTCTAAGACAGGGGTGCCCAAACTTTTTCTTATGAAAGGACAAAAACTAAACTTGATTGAGGCTAGTGGGCCAAGGATACACATAGTTTCCATGGGTAATTTCCTCATTTATTTAATATTTTAATATGACAAGAATACATTGCTTTATATTAACTAATACAGTAAAAAAACAAAACATTTATAACTGAATTACACTAGTTTTTGTCTTGATTTGCTTACTGGTGTCTTCTACATAGTACTTTATCTGTCGAGAGACAGTATTTACATTTTAAAAACCCAGATTCATTTACAACATTTAATTGAAACGTTTAATTTCAGTGTGCTTTTTTTGTAGCTCAGCAATAAAACTAACAAAAACGGTTATGTCAAATTAGAAACGAAGACCTCTGTGTTAAAGGCATTCACCCCAATGCTCTCTCTCCTCTCAGATGGGATGGTGAGTCAAATCAAAGGTTACAATGAGCCAACTTTGGTCTGCGGGCCCTACTTTGGGCATCTCTGTTCTAAGTCAATAATGGTCCAACATTCCTGATCAAAGCCTATAAAAATAGGTCATCAGTATATCGTAATCTTATAGGTTTGAAAAAACCTATTTCGGTAATTGTGTATTGAAACCACCTGGGTCTCCATTTTTGCCATGGCGTCTCTTTTTGGCTTTAACAAACTTGCCCCTCAAGTTTTTCCAAACATTTATAAAAACTGGTCTCACTTTATTTTGATGGTACCTTTAACACATTTTTTTGAATTTAGGTTACATTGCATTTACATGCCAACTAATTCTCAATAGGTCATAATTATAGGTCTGGGTTCGAGTTATGGTTAGTGTAAGTTGACATGTACTTGCAAAGTTTCTGTCAGTTAAATTTCCGTTGAAGAAGCAGTAACAGTATAAAGCAAAGAGTCTACTAATACTCAAATGATAAGTCTCTGGCATGTAGTTGCAATGCAACATTTATTTGAACAATGTGCAATAGGGAACGTCAAAATGAAGTCTTACCCAAAAACTTTCTTCCTTTCCCACAAAATTCTTGCCATTTCTAGCCAAGAATTATTGGCCATCTGGTTATCCCTATATGATCACACATGGATCATAAAGATGTCTGTACAGTCGTACCTGTTTCAGACAAAATCTCTTCAAAGAGATTCATACTCAAATGAAATGCGGCGACGCATGAACTGTTCACTCGAGTTTCAAAAAATGTTGTACACTCGGCCAACCGAAATCATGTTACGCGCACCCAAAGCAAACCTCCACTAACACAACAATGACTTCACAGTCACGGCGTGCATTTAAGCAAACTAGCGGATGCATCAAGTATAAATCAGCCTTCATATAGAAAAATGTATGCTTTTGTACATGTTGTGCAACAGCTAGGCTTTACTCCACACAGTTCTAATGTGCATTCTGACAGATCCTTCTTATTTCTTAAAAAGACATGCAAAAAACTACAATAGAATCACATTGATTAAAAATATTGCTTCACATTACTTTAAATATTCTAAAAAAGTCCTTGAAGTGCAGCAAAAATGTGACTATGCCTCAACATTACGTGATTGGAGCCAGCAGATCAATTTGAGAGCTCACTATTTCCAAATGCTGCTTTATTTTTTACTAAATAATTTAGTTATTCATATTTAATTAAGTAAATGACGTCTCTGAGGTGTCCTCTGTGCTCAAGCCATGCATTATATATGAACCAAAAAAGATCTACAATGGTTTCCCAGGGTTTATTGCAAAAGTCATACATTATATATGAAAAAAGAGCTACAGTGGTTTCCCCCGTTGCATTTTTAAAAAATATGTATTTTACTGGTAATTTAAGACATGTCCAAGAAAGTCAGGATTTCTTAATCACATTAGAGCTTTATTTCCAAATTATTAATGTCATTTTTTATAAATTTGCACGTTTTGATGGACATGTGGCTGGTGACAGTGTGTGAGCAAGAAAAAAGCAAGCTTGCCAAGAGAAAAAGTATGAAATTAGGGTTGTACCTGTTGATGAGACCAGGGCATATGCTTTAACAGAGATATATGTTGAAGAACTGCCTCGCCATCTAGATCTGACATTATTTTCTTCAAGGAGACGAATGGTACAAGGCATTGCAGCTGCTGGGTTACATTTGCAGAAATGCGTTCCAGAGCCTTAAAACAAACAGTGTGCCGTTTGATTGACCAAATCAGATCTAATGCACGAGTACAAATGCTGACTGATTTGTAAAAACATACCTGTTGGAGAGCAAAATGGACCATCGCTCGATGAGCAGGACGCAGATTAGACAGCAGGGAACTCCAACAATGACAATCAAGTGGAGTTTCAGATACGAGTAAGTTTTTCAAGAAAACAGGGTCCAGACCCGGAAACAATGGCTTCAATCTGCAGAGCGTGTTGGCACTGAACTAAACAGGATTGAAACTGTAAATACAAGACCCTGGCTGTGTTTACACCTGGGATTAAGATGCATTTTCAATAAACCGATAATAAGTTTAGATGACAATAAATACTGGTGTAAAAGCATAGCAGTGTTGGGTAAATTACTAAGATTATAAGTAAGTTACTAATTAAATTAAGTTACTTTTCGAATTTATTTGACTGAATCAAACAACTATACAATTAATTAAATCAACATGCATATAAAAAGTGTAGTGCAAATATTTATAGCCCTTTATTAACCATAGGCTGTTAAACAAACAGAAACAGTTGGACGTGATGACGTCAGTAATATGCAAATTGACATATGACGTCATTTAGCGACATTTAGAGACTTCTTGAACAGAGTTTATCGCCTTTTAATTTAAAATATTTGGTTTTCATATTTCTCAAAATTATTTGACGTGTTTAACATCTTCTTATGTAGCGCTTTGGGTTTAAGAAAAGTGTTTTACAAATAAAAATCATTATTATTATTGTTACGACAGAAGTTTAGTTATTATTGCAAATTGCATGTCTTTTTCTTTGTCCCGCCTTCTTTTAGTTTTTCTGTTATCCCATAGGCTCCCATGCCGGCATGATCCCGTGTTCTGATTGGCTGCTGGTCTCGGAGGCCTGTATAAAACGGAGCTTCCAGCAGGGTTCGGGGAGCTCATTTGTGCTGCGTTCGGTGCTGGGAGTGGTGCTCCTGGATTTCCCTTACCCCTTTGACCGACGACCAACAATCAATTTTGTACTATTGTTCATACGTTAACCTATTTTGAGAGTTTGAGCGTGTAGGGGTGGCCTGCCTATTTATTTGATTACTTTTGACTATGTTTACGTTTGGGGAAAAAGGTAAGCTTCCTGTATTTTTCTTTAAATAGTAATAGGTAATTTAGTGCATTTACTTTATAGATTCTTCTGTTTGTTATTTTGGCCTGTGGTCATCCTGAAGATATGCTCATTTATATTTACTAAATTTTAATAAATCTGCTGGGTTAAATCTATTCATATACTCTCAACTGAGTGTGTGAGTGTGGTTTTCGACCGAAGGGAATCTTTTGCATTAAGTTTTTGTTTTGTTTGGGAAATCCACCACCCCAACATATTTGTTTTCTTCGTTTATTATGCCCATGTTGTTTTCCCCTAGACTTGGGGCGTAATATTATTATTATTATTATTGTTATTATAATTATAGTAATCCCTTGATTGATTTTTTTTTTCAGAATAAATGTGATTTAATTGCAGTAACTAGTTCCTTTTTTAACTATTTACACCCAACACTGGTGCTCAGAGAGTGAAGGATCTCTATGAAATCTAAACTCAAGTGACCTAAAGAGACGCATTTAAATTCATGTTAATAGCAGGAGGAAACAATGATGCCTCTCAGCTGAAAATGTGGGATCGGATCACTGAAAATGCATGTTAATGCCAAGTGGAAACAGGGCCTCACTTTAGAGAAGTATCACAAATAGAGTGGTATACTGCTTACATTTGTTGCTTCTGCTATTTTGTTGAGTATCTGAAATGCCTGCATTCAAAGAAATGGGAAAGGGCATTACAATACAGGTCAAATCAAGCAAAATACTTTCACTCTCCATTTATAATATCATTCTGTCAGTGTTTTCAGACTTGACTTTAGCACAGTGGACTCTTTTCATAGCCTGTGTTTCCACACTTTTAGGGTTTCTTCACATCAGTAAACACTACAAATCCCAATTCAGGCTCTAAGGCAGCCTTTAATGTTTCTCTTGACAAACTGTTTTTGTCAAGTTAAAAGAATCCTATTAAAAAATGCAACATAAATCTCAGGAGTCCCCAGAATGTGTTTGTGAAGTTCCAGCTGAAAATGCCTCACTGATTTTATCATACAATGTTTAAAGGGGTAGAAAAAGAAAAAAGTGTTTTGTAAGTGTCTCCTTAAATGCAAATGAGCCACTCCTTTCCTGTAGTGAAGGTGGAGCCAAAAACATGCACTGTAACAAATGCGGGGCTCCACACAATTCCTTCATGCTGTCCCAACACAAATTGATTAAGTAAACTTTATCGTTTTTACAAACTTGAGTTGGTTGAACATAAAAATTAAATTGTCCCAAAAACATTAAGAATTGAGTTGTTTCAACTTATTTTAAATAGGTAGTTTGAACAAGAAGAGTTTTTGAGTGTGCACTTTAAACGCTTTATCAGTTTAAACGAGAGCCGTGGAACCAGACCAGATTTGGTGCGCAGGAATACATTTCTGAATAAAACGTGATAGCAGTCAGTAACTCTGGTGTACTTTGAATTGGAGCAAGCGTCAGTACAGCGCTTCGAGTCGCGACGTTAATTCAGAACAACATATCTGTAGATATGTTTCCATCCAAAAATACTGGATTATCGCATACAAAACGTGAGAATAAAGCAGTGACTTTTACCAAACAGATCTAAACACGAGAACAGATCTACTCCAACAAGTCAAAGAGAACAAAATCGTCACTTTTCTGATTATCTGGTGCCAAATATCAACAGTAAAAACTGAATTTGCTGTGGTAGAAGAAGCTGCGTGATTCTTTTCTTCATCGAATTGAATGAAAAACTTGTGCCTCAGAAGGCAATCCTGACACACAGTGAACGCGCAGTGGCGTTTGCAGGCATGAGACACGGAGCAGAGGCGATTTTGATTCTGGAGGTAATTAATAATAAAATAACACTAATACTGAAATAGTTAAGATGTTTTAGAATGACCAAAACAACATTTCAGATGTTTTACGTTGATCTCTTATAACAAAATCACATGACTTTTTTGAATGCGCATACAGGAGTTTGTTCGGTAAAAGTGTTTCCATCACAGTTTCTCTCAGTTATGCACAGTTTTTATGCGCATTTTCAAAATGTATGCGCATCTTGGCGTTTTCATCAACCGTTTTTTTATGCGCATATCCAAATGTGCAAAATATAGATGGATAGAAACCTAGCTTGTGATTTCCTCATTCTTATTGAGCACCGATACAGCCAGTGCTCACAACTGTTATACATGGTGAAGGCATGACCAATGCTTTCTGCATATGTGTTTTATTCGCAGTCTGAGCGTGCTTCATCTGCATAACGGTCCTCAGAGCAGGTTTACCAGCATGGCAGAACAAATTGAAGATGTGCTGTCCTTCAGCTTGCATTAGAAAACAGTCAGTTTACTGTTAGGTAACCCACATCAGGCAAGTCTCATGTACAGTATGGGAGACTTTTTCAGGCATCATAGGCGCAAATGTAAAATAAAATGACCCTTTGCGCGATGTGATAATACCTTAAAGTTTTCCCCTATAGCAGTCAGAGGACTGCAACATCAGGTTTAAGGCAGTACTTATGTCTCAAAACTCACATTCAGCCTACAATCCTTGCACAACCTACAATTTTATCTGGTATCTCTCTCTTTTGGTAGTGCCCAATTTAAACATGAGATTTTTTGAAACCAGATCTAAAACAGTTGGGTAGAAAATGTTTCTAAGCGGGCAGGGGGTGACTAAAGGATGGATATATGGCGGGAGCAGTCGGGTGCGGAATAAAACCTTGCGGAAGCGGGACTAAAAAAATGAGTCGCACACAGACCTCTAGTTTAAACTCCTGATTTGCATTTTCTAAGCGCACCGATAAGAAAGCACATGAATATTTTACTGAAATAAAATATGCTTTTTCAAATACTCAAAAGTTTCTTACTTTGTGCTGAGAATGTATTTGTTCAAACAACAGCATTGCAAGAAAGAAACTTAAAAGAGCCAGAAAGCATTATGTGACCCATTTTTAAAGATGTGAATTTTACTTCCATACATATAATTCTGCATTCTGTTTATATCTGCGAACTAAATTGGACTGAAAATTATTTTCAGTTTACTTCTGAACATTGCATAGCCCTGCATTGTAGTTCTCCTACCTGCGCAGGTGGAAAAGTTGGCATATCCGGTAGAGTTACCAGATCCAGCAACTTGTTTGAGGACAGTGGTTCCAAAAATGAAGCACCCATTTGCGGCAGCATACCATGCAATGAGCCCATTAATGAAGCTGATAGGATACTGGCATTTAGAGATTTAAGAGCTGTCCCAAGCCAGTGTGACAACTGTGTGTAAAGGAAACCTACATTAAAAACACTTTCAAAATACTGTACTTCATGTTAACTCAAAAATGAAGGCTTACTCTGCCATTTGCGCTGACATGTCCCTCTGATACACATTGAGCCAGCTGCTGCCACAGGGCGGGTGAGAGATTTGACGAAGACAAAAGGTGTTGTAAGTCTTCAGAGTTCACGTAACATATAAGACCTCCTAACCTATTGTGAGAAACATTGTATTTGGTCAAAACTCAATATGTAAAGGTCAAATGTTATTGAACTTGTGCTTGTACCTCATTATGTTGTCGCCAGTCAGGTTCTTTCCCCTGCCGAAGACGGTACGAAGTACATGGCGCCCCCTTGTGGCATCCAGACTGATGTTCCCCAACATCTCCATTAACGGCATGAGCTGTAGGTCAAACATTCTGATGCTACTTTTAGAAATTCTTCAAAAATGTCATTGTCTTGACTTGTTCAAATTTATTTTATTAAATGTTTTTATATTCTCAAATATTGAACCTAAACACATATAAAATCAACTTAAACAAGTTTCTCTGGGTCTGGCAGGAGCACCTTTAATTTACGATAGCTTAGCATAAATCATTGAATTGGATTGGACCATTAGCATCTCACTCAAAAAAAACTTTTTAAACTTGTCTATTCTGTAGTTGTGTACTATGGCAGACAGAAAATTAATGTTTTTTTTTTTTTTATCATGGCACCTGCTGCACCCATGGTATGGCAGCAAAGTTCCTTGAATATTACACCAGAATGACTTCCTAGCAATATCGACCTAAAAATATCAACTCTTCATTTTCCATCAGTCTACGAACACTATATAACTACACAAGTGTCAAGCTTTAAATAGGAAAATTAAGGGTATTTTTTGAGATTTGTGAGTGAGATGCTAATGGTCTAATCTGATTCAATGATTTATGCAAAGCTAAGCTAAAAGTCTTTATGCTAGACCTGGAGATTGGCTGAACGGAATCAAAATGGTAAAACTCAAATATTTAACTCTAAGGAATTTCTTTTTTAAAAATCTATTGTTCTATTTAACATGCCCACACTGCCTGACAAAAGTATTGTCGTTGATGCCTGTTGTAAAAGCAGAAATAATAACTTGACTTCTAGTTGATCATTTGAAAAAGTGGTAGAAGGTCGATTTTTCTGATGAATCATCTGTTGAACTGCATCCCAATCATCACAAATACTACAGAAGACCTACTGGAACCAGCATGAACCCAGGATTCTCACAGAAAGCAGTCAAGTTTGGTGAAGGAAAAATCATGGTTTGGGTTACATTCAGTATGGAGAGGATGGCAACATCAATAGCCTGAGGTATTAAGACATTTGTGCTGCCCATTACATTACAAACCACAGGAGAGGGCGAATTCTTCAGCAGGATAGCGCTCCTTCTCATACTTCAGCCTCCACATCAAAGTTCCTGAAAGCAAAGAAGGTCAAGATGCTCCAGGATTGGCCAGCCCCGTCACCAGACATGAACATTATTGAGCATGTCTGGGGTAAGATGATGGAGGAGGCATTGAAGATGAATCCAAAGAATCTTGATTAACTCTGGGAGTCCTGCAATAATGCTTTCTTTGCCATTTCAGATGACTTTATTAATCAGTGATTTGAGTCATTGCAGAGATGTATGGATGCAGTCCTCCAAGCTCATGGGAGTCAGACACAATATGAACTATTTTTCCACTGCACCATGACTTTATATTTTATATTGTACATTATTTCTGTTAAGTGACAAGACTTTTGTCTAAGCAAAGTCAGACTTTACTGTCCTAATTAAATAATTAAAAATCAAGGCTTGATCATATTTTATTTTGGTAAAATAAGTGTAATCTAAAGGCCTTTGCCTTTCATATAAGCCACTTCTGATACCAAATGATCAACTAGAAGTCAAGTTATTATTTGTTGTTCCTAAAACTTAGATAGGCGACAAGACTTTTGTCAGGTAGTGTATATTGTACATTGTTGACAGATGAAGAAACAGTTTATATCATTACAGCAAAGTGGGCGATAATCTAAAGCATTACCATTGTTCCTTACCTGCTGTGATGTGAGTTGCTGAAAGTGACTGACTGGGAGATGTGGAAGAAGAGGTTGAATGGAGCTGAGGAAATATGGAGGCCACGAAGGGACTTCTCCAGCAACACTGGACTGCAGCAGGCGTTTTACGAAGGCTTGCTTTTGTAGAGACTTCATCTCAGAGCTGTGATCGCTTATGGCCAGCAGTCTGGTGAACATGAATGTGAATCATTAGCATATACAGTTGAAGTCAGAATTATTAGCCCTGCTGAATTATTAGCCCCCCTGAATATTTCCCCCTAATTTCTGTTTAACAGAGATAAGATTTTTTTTCAACACATTTCTAAACATAATAGTTTTAATAACTCATTTCCAATAACTGATTTATTTTATCTTTGCCATGATGACAGTAAATAATATTTTGCTACAAATTCTTCAACACACTAGTATTCAGCTTAAAGTGACATTTAAAGGCTTAACTAGGTTAATTAGGCAGGTTAGGATAATTTGGCAAGTCATTGTATAACGATGGTTTGTTCTGTAGACAATTAAAAAAAAAAAAACTTAAGGGGGCTTATAATATTGACCTTAAAATGTCTTTTAAAATATCAAAAACTTTCACTAGAAGAAAAATCAGACATCAGACATACTGTGAAAATTTCTGTGAAAAAAAAAAAAATCACAAGAGGGTGAATAATTTTGACTTCTACTCTACATCACATGGAGAATAACCTAATGTGGAGACTGATGAAGTGTTAGTAAGATCCACTTACACACTTTCATTGACCATGAGAGAGGCGGGGAAGGTCATGATGTCAGAGACAGACATGTATGGTATAAACTGGGAGAGGTCGATGAAAAGCTCAGGTGTGACTCGGGGAAACTTGTGGATGAAAGCAGCGGTCATACTTTCCATGGCCTCTTGTTCCTTTGGAGAGGCCTGTGAAGGAAACAAGTTATGCAAATAACCTGCTGTTTAAAATCTCCTTTGGGAGGCTAAGACTATTGCACAAACCTATCTATCTAAAAGGTATGAAGCCAGTGCAGGGCCATTACTCTTGGGTGAACTATACCTTTAACATACAAACAGAAAATATGGGAACTACGTACACAATATTAAGAACTAAATTATTTTCTAAATCAAAAGACTAGCGTCAAATGTCTGTGCTTAACCTCTTTAGCACCAAGCAACAGCTTGAACGTTGTTGTTGAGCCTTTTCTAAAATTATATGCAAGTATATCATTATAATATCAAAAATGTTTCAGCCTTTCTAGAAGTTCTTCCTTGGACTTAGCATGTTCTAGCTTTCTTTTTTTGCCCCAGATGAATCTCAAACTGCCTATAATATTGCCTATATAATATTCAGGTCTGGACTCTGTGGAGGCCATTTCATCACTGCCTTTGTTTCCTCAGCTGTTTTTCTCTCCAAATAAGATTTTGTTGCATTAGCAGTGTGTTTGGGATTATTATCAGGCTGAAAAAACTTTTACAAATTAGGTGTCCTGTTTACCTGTATAGTTTCCACGTGAAGTTGATCCCAGCTCTGATGAACATGGGACAGAAATCTTTTCACAGCATCTTTCTCTGCGGACAGAACCACACTACGAATGCTCTCTCTGGGCATTTGTAGATACTCCTAAAGCAATTGAATATTGACATTAGATATTGACAAACGTATCATATCATTATCATAACATATTAATTATAACATGGAAAGTGCTATGAATATTGTTAATATGTTCTGTTTATATTGAGCTTAACTCAAGGGCTTTTAAATTTGGTCATGCAGCATGAAGCAAAAGAGTGTGCAAAACAATGTAAAGAACTGTTTCATATATATATATATATATATATATATATATATATATATATATATATATATATATATATATATATATATATATATATATATTTATTTATTTATTTATTTATTTTAAAAAAAAATATTTTTTTAAGGGATGGTTCACCCAAAAATGAACATTCAGTCAGACATTCAGTGTTGAACACAAAAAAAAGGTATTCTGAAGAATGTTAGAAACCTGAAGCTATTGCTATATATTGCTATTATTGAAAAACAAACAGTAAGCCAATTGTTACCAGTATTCAGGGGTCACCACAGTGGAATGAACTGCCAACTATTCCAGAATATGTTTTACTCAGCGGATGCCCTTCCAGCTGCAACCCAGTAGTGGGAAACAGCCCTACACTCTTGCATTCACATGCACACACATACACTACGGCCACACTATGCAACCACATCAGGGTGTCAGAATCCACTTTTGCTATTTTATGGAGTGAAAAATTCGCTTTTCACCGTGGTACATTGTCTAACAGGGTTGAGCTTACTCTCTTAATGAGTTAAAGGTGTGTTTTGAGAATAAACCAATCAGAGTCTCATCCCCCATTCCCTTTAAGAGTCAGTTGTGTTGCGCCATGGCACATTTGCTATGTACATGGACTGAACGCTTCACTTGAGAGAAAACCGTTAAAGAGAGCATCTGCAGCACGAGAATGAGAGATGAGCCTCCTCATTCTTTACTTTCACTTTCACTCTCATGGATAAGGAAAAGTGTTGTACGCACAGAGATCCATTAGCCTATACATAATTAATTTAGTTTGTTAAGAGCAAAGATTTGTTTCAAAACTATTTCTAAACTCAGTTCTAATTTCCAGCAAACGAATAAATGAACAATAATATCGAAGTGTGTTCAAAAAACTGAGTTATATCCAAACACACATGCCCCATATGGTCTAAAACCTGACAGGTGGGCAAATCTAAGCTTTTTTTAATGAAACAAATATAAATATGGATATAATAAGTAATACTGCTAATAATAATAACATTATACAAAAGCAAATTGTTGTGAATAAATAAACTGAAATAAACTGAAAAAGCCCAACGAGATGAAGAAGGCATGAAGGCGGTGGTTTTATAATAAGGCCCATTATGTTGAGAAATTGGAGAAATTTTCAGAAATTGGATGAGAAAATATTCAGGGGGGCTAATAATTCAGGAGGGCTGATAATTCTTGACTGTATCATCCAGATACACCTTTATATTTAACAAAAATACTCCCTAGCCAGGAGATTTTCATATTTACCTCTCTTCACCGTCAAAAACCTTCCAAACCTCTTGAGCTTAACTCGCTAGATAACTGAGCGTTGGGAAGAATGAATTATACCTGCATTAAAAATCTTAACGCGGAAGAGTTTCCCTCCCTCTGAATGAGGTCCCACAGGACAGGCTGCTGAGGAGAAAAAGCCTTTTGAAATTGAATGCGTCAAACTGTGCATGATAATATAACACAACACTAGCAAATGCACTGTAAAAAAATTAAACTGTTAATTAACAGTTATCCATTTATTTATGGTAGTGAGTTGCTATATGGGACCTTGATCTCTGCTCTGTTGACTATAAAGTTGAAAATTCAACTATCCAGTTTAACAAATTGACGTTTATTGACATTTTAGTCATCTGAATAAATATCATGTTTAATAAATCATGTATATTGAAATAAATCTGCAAAATAACAGAAAATGTACTGGCAGCTTATTACAAGGATTTTGTAGTACCATAATATCCAACACCAACCCAGAGAATATATCACTTTAAACCAAAGAGCGTGTAGGAGGGTTTGGAGGGGTGGGGGTTATATAGTGGTTCATAGGTTCATTGTGAATGTGTGTTTGCGCCAAAAATATTAATTCCTCTGCTGAAAAAAACTGTTTAAACCAGCCTAGACTGGTTGGCTGGTTTTCAGGTGGTCAACAAGCCTGACTTTAGAGGGCTTTTGGTCATTTCAGTCTGGTTTCCAGCCTTTTCCAGCCCGGTCTTAGCTGGTCAGGGTGGGAGAAGACCAGCTAAAACCAGCTTGACTTGCCTAGCCAGAACCAAATATGGCCAGCTTAAACCAGAGTAGTCAAGCTGGTTTTAGCTGGTCATTTTCCAGCCTGACCAGCTAAGACCTGGCTGGAAATGGTCCAAAAATAAAACCAGGCTTGTCAACCAGCTAAAACCAGCCAACTAGCTGGTTTAAGCTGTTTTTTCAGTAGGGTAAGAAGAAACCAGCAAATCTACAGCACCAACAAACAGTCTAAGTGTTCACAAAACATGTTTCTTGTAAAATAGGCATGTACAGTAGGTTGAAGTTAAACAAACAAACAAACAAAAAAACTAATAATACGTGCAGTTTTTTTATGGTCATCCATTAATCGGTGCAGGATTGCAAACCTGCCACCGTTTAGTTAACATCGCAAAAGTCATTGAGAACCACTCAATATTCCTTAAATCACTGAAAACATAATAAGTATCAATAAATTAGATGTAATTAAATTAAATAAATAAATTTGGTTTACTGAGGCACTCCCTGAGGCATATTAGCTCCTTTCACACAGTGATACCAGTAATTATCCTGAAACTTTCCTGAACGACTTTACTGGTAAACAACAACAACAACAACAACAACAACAAAACAGTGATCACACAGACAAGGGCATTCTGGAAAAGACCGTTCACGCATCTATTTCAAACACCGGTAAATTCTGACATCATCAGAAACTCTACACGGCTGAGCTTGTATTTCTAAACATAGAAGGGGTCAGGCTTTTGTTGATGGTTTCACTTGTATTTAAAGCTTTGTCCCAGAGACATCCCAAAGCAGAAGTGAGAACCACAGCTAAATGTTTACACATTTGGCCACATTAAAATTCTGTGGAAAGGTAAGTATTGTGAACAAGTTATATGAAAACATATGGAGGAACACTTTCACATGTCGAGATGTACACATGACTGTGTGCTGGCGCTCACTGGAGCATCGGAGCTGGAGCTCACGTGCACACGTCAAAGAACTGAAGTAGAGCTTGAAGGTAAACAACAGTTTATCGATATTTTTTATACAGTTGCCATTAAGAAGAAACATAGAAACGTATTCTGACTAACATCCAATAGCTAAATGTTTCTGGAAAAATATTCAAAGGTGGAGGTGAATACGGCTGAATGTTCTGATTAGCTGGAGTAGACGTCTCACGTCAGCGCACTCTAAACATGAACGCACTCTTTCTGTCAATTCTGGTTGTTGCTAGATCATATACGATTGCGGCCGGAAGTTAATGATAATTATTTAAATTATTTATTAAATTTCCCATTTATTGTATTTTATTGACGTCAGTCATGTAAAAACAGTGGTTGTACTGAGTATTATTTATGCTATCTATTAAATTACCCAATAAATAGTTTTTTTTAAGGCCTACCCCCACCCCAAACCTAAACCCAACCATCACAGTACTGTAAAAACATGAACTATTGTTAAACAGTATAATAAAAAATGCTGCTATATTAATGTGCATGTCGCAATTCCGGCTGCATATCCAATCTAGACTACACCGACTGATTTTCCTTCTGCATTCACACAGCGCAGCATTCCAGCAAATTACCGGGAATGTTATAACTTTTCTTTCCAGAAAAGTAATGGAACAAATTTACCGGTATTTTCAAAAACACATGATCCCTTTACAAAAAATTATTTTCTGAAAAGGTCTGTATGTGGGGGCTAATTCCACATTGTGCCTGACCATAGATATATACACTAGATATCGCATAGGGACCCTGAGCATGCGTCAATAGCGCCGCCACATTGGTACAGTGCTCCCAGGACAAACGTCATTCAACTGCACTAGTCAAGACAGTGTTACTACGTGAAGATGCGGGACTTTAGCGCTGTCTACGGGTGTAGTAACGAGCAAACAAAGAAAACAAAGCACAAAGGCAGAACATTTCATAGGTAAGATTAAGTTTTTGTTTACGTTTTTGTATTTTCTGAACTTTTATGCTACACAGGTATCGTTATTAATGATACAGTCACTTACTGCATTTACCATAAGGCAAAGTAGCTCCAACTCGCACTAAACACTCAGCTTATGCTAGTTTTGTTGAATAAAATCAGCAAACAATGCAAAAGAAATATGACAACGAGATGCTGCGCTGCCAGAAACGTATATTATTGTCAGCTAAGTAAAGGAGTCGTTCATAACGGAGATTCATTCACAAACGAATCGCTCTCTCCGTCAGTATGAGCAGTGAAGGCAGGAGAGGAGCTGTGTTTCAGGAGATGATTAGATCAAATTTAACAGGGAGGGTGAATAGTACATTTCTGTACACACAAACGCAACTTTTTGTCAGGAATGCCAGTGCGATCACTGATCTATCAATGTAAAAAAGTGATGTAAAATTAAAATTTTCGTAATTAAAAAAAAAAATGCATACTGACATTCAGGAAAACTCCCGATCATAGATATAAGCATATATGTGTTTTTCTCTGGCTTTGGATGGCCACAGTCTTCCACTGCAGCTTGGTCCCACATTCATTTCAAAGGAGGGCTACCCTGTTCCAAAATGGCGGCTCTATTGACGCATTCTTTCCTATAGACAACAACAGGGTAGGCGACATCTAATGTATATATCTGAGGTGCCTGACGAAATCCAGTACCCCACCGCCACATTGTCAATGTATAATTGATAATATTGTCAATGTTATTAAAGAAGAAAGATCAAGGTCTCATAATGCACATCTCATAATCCCTATATTCAAATGCACAGCCTAAATAAACAGAAAAATTCAAAACATGAATCACAAAATATTTAAAACTGCTTATTTACGCATGTTTTACAGTGTGGGAAGAAAACATTGAAATGCATGACATACACTGAAGCAGCTCAAAAGATCTTCTTTTAAGGTGGAGTTTTGCTCTCCCTTCAGAAAGACGCCGACAGTGTGAAGTACACTCAGGGACGCGTTGGGTCGTAGAGTAGCCCAAAAAGAGGCATTGTCCTGCAGGCTGGACAGAAGGATGGCCTGACCCAAACCCTGACGCACTTCCAGCTCTCCTTCCTCCAATCCAGCCGAAAGCCCGACCACAAAATCCAAAACTCGAAGCACGTAACTTACCGTCGCCAACCATCCCGTGCGTTCATCGACTACCCCCTCACATAAAGTAAGCTTATGAATGGCGTCTTGCAGGATAGGCAAGGGGTTCACGCAGAGTTGAGAAGTGTCAAAGTCATACGGCGCAGGCAGCATGTCAAACAGCCTCTGGAGGACACATTTGGCGCCGATTTTATCCTCAGAGTTCAAACAGTCGTCTGTGAGTGAAGGCTGCTTTTGAAGTAGTGTGAGGTAAAGCGTGGCGTTTTTACAAATATAGTCCTTCAGACCTGCTTTGCTACAAAGCTCAAGGGCGGTGGAGTTTGTGAAATATTCCAGCTTCCACTTTGAATAGTCGCAGTTTTGTTTTGACGGCTTGTGATTGATTGTGACTTTGGAGCAATACTCCGCAGCCCAGCTGCCATCTTGGGGTATTTGAGACGACTCGTTTCCGCATAAAGACGCGATGAGGGCTGTGTTATTTGGGAGAAAGCATTTTCTAAAGTCCTGGGCGGTGAGTGTTTTGCTGTTTAGCAATGCTAGGCAATCTTCAGTGTCGTCTTTAGGAGATTTAGCAGAAGCTTCATTGGAGAGCTGAAGACAGAGGTCGTCAATACTTGACTGGTTGAGGTACTGGTAATACCTTGTAGCTTCTACCTGAGGAAATTTCACAGCAAAGCCATTAGTAATACAGAACACTTTAAAGCAGAGGTCACCAATCTCTGTCCTGGAGGGCCGGTGTCCCTACAGGGTTTAGCTCCAACTTGCTTCAACACACCTGCCTGGATGTTTCAAGTATACCTAGTAAGACCTTGATTATCTTGTTCAGGTGTGTTTGATTAGGGTTGGAGCTAAAATCTGCAGGACACCGGCCCTCCAGGAACAAGTTTGGTGACCACTGCTTTAAAGGGATAGTTCACGCAGAAAATTCTGTCTTCATTTGGGCTGCTCTAGTTCCAAACCTAAGTTACTTTCACTAAATAATTAACTCTTTTTTTTGCTGCTGTTTCAAACTACTTATTTTAAACGTGCTGAAACAACACAGTTCTTGAGATTTGGTAACATCTTGTAGCTTCTACCTAAAGAAATTTCACAGTAAAGCCATTAGTGATGCATAAAAGTTTTAAAGGGATAGTTCACGCAGAAAATTGTCATCATTTAGGCTGCTCTTGTTCCAAACTTGAGTTTCTTTCTTCTGTTGAACACGATTACACTAAATAATTACAAATATTCTTGCTGCTAGTTCAAACTACTGAATGAGCTGAAACAACAAAATTCTTAAGATTTGGTAATACCTTGTAGATTCTAACAGAGGGAATTTCCCAGCAAAGCCATTAGTAATCCAGAACACTTTGGGATAGTTGATGCATAAACTTCCGTCATCATTTACTCTTCTTCCAAACCTGAGTTTCTTCTGTTCAACACTATTACACTCAAAGAATAATGTTTGCTGCTTGTTCAAACTACTTATTTAAAATGAGCTGAAACAACACAATTCTTGAGATTTTTGAGGACAACTTAATTTGTGATGGGCCAACATAAGTGAATCATTTGAACCAGCCTGATATCACGAGGAAACTTAACTATTTTAAGATTTGTCAGTTCAGTCGTATGACAATGTTTTCAAAATGATTTTTAAAAGGGGGCGTGGCATCAAACCTCACTGCTAAACCGTCATTGGGAGATGAGCAAATCGTACTAAATTGTATGAATGAATTGTACAAACTCAAACTAATTAGCTACAAAAAAGGTTACGAACTGCCGTGACATAGCGTTGGTGTAACCCTGCATTTTATGCAGATATTCTCCTCTGTGAAAAAATGCTGGGTTCCACACAATTGATTAAAACGTATTAATTTTAACATAAAACAATTAAGTTGTCACAAAAACAAAAATCCATTAAGAATTGTGTTGTTTCAGGTCATTTTAAATAAGTGGTTTGAGCAAACACTCCCTAAACTGGGAGAAAATTGATCCTATTGTACTCTGTAAAAAGTGATTAGTTACTTAAAGTGAGTAAACCAATTGCCTTAAAAGCTACAAGTTGACTTTACAAAAATAATGTAAGTAAACCCGTTGTAACTTGGAACTGTTAAGTTGGCTTAATTTGTCAAATTATGCTAATTGTATTCACTTTTTAAAAAATTAATTAAAGTACACTAATCACTTTTTCCAATACACCTTTATTATATTAGTTTTTTTTCTGTATCCAGCAAAATGACATACAGTAAAATAAATCTGCTCTTCCAGCTCCACTGTGTCTTTTAAATTCAATACAGGATGTAGTTGTAGATTTTATAGACTTAATGAACCACCAAATATGTAACATTGTTAAAATTACAGTAATTATTTGAAAACAGACGTGCTAAAATAGTCTGATACTGTAAAAAAGGATTAGTTGGTTGTTAAAAAAGTGAGTAGAATTAGCATAATTATAAAAATTAAGTCAACTTAACAGTTCCAAGTTACAACAAGTTTACTTACATTATTTTTGTTAAGCCAACTTGTTGCTTTTAAGGCAATTGGTTTACTTGCTTTAAGTAACTAATCACTTTTTACAGTGTACCTACTGTATCTGGTGTCTTGTTATTTATCGTTGATTCTGTGTGGTATGCTGGATGTATTCTATGTTGTTTTATCTGTTGCTGTCTATTTTTGATAATTTGCTTTTAGGTTTGTACAGCACAATGGTCAACAACTGTTTTATTGCGCTTTATAAATAAATAAACTAAACTAACCAGGATTTTTAATGAAGAGATCTCTCAAATTTCATTTAAAAATCTATCAAAATTAGTTACAAAAAAAACGTAGGGTTCAGATTTACACAAGGGTTTGTAAATGACGACAGAATTTAACAGAATGCTTATGACAGAATATTTATTTTCATTTAAAGATCTATCAAAATGTGTTTTTTTTTTAATGTAAGGGTTCAGATTAACACAAGGGTGTGTAAATGACGACAGAATTTTGTATTTATGGCTGATCATTCATGAAAACGAAAACTAAAAGTAGCTGGATGTACCTGTTGTGCGTGCTGCAGCCAGAATGTAGAGTTGGCACACACTGTTTTGTTGAACTCGTGAGCGAAGAATTCACTGCAAACGTGAACCCAAAGGAAATCTTCCTCTGCTGCTGAAAGGTACCACGCAGCATCTGAGCAGGTTGCATGCAGGTCAACACCTAAATGGTTGACTTGAGGGTCCTGTGAGCCATTCTCGTCATCAAAAAGATTACAGTAGAGGAAGACGGTAAAATTCGAGACCCCGGTGAGACCAGGGATAGAGGCGTTACAGGCAGCTTCCAGAATCTCAGCAGAGATCAAGGGGTTTCCATCAGTCTGCTCCTGAATGTTCATGTGGGACTGGCGAAGTTTAGTTCTAGATGATGGTTGAGGTTTTAAAGTCCTTGTTTCCTCTTCTGAAGATGGACAAGTCATGAAAGACGGCCTGCTGGGTAAACCATCTGACCTGAAACCCATCGCTTGAGCGTTCCAAGTCAAGTTATGTCTAATTCCCCTGTACAAAGAGGACAGCATATTTGTTTAATTCATGATAGTCTTCATTATTATTATACACTCAGAAATGCATTAGAATGACACTTACCATAATATTAACTGCCTGAGGTCGCCTTCACAAAGAAACAAAAGTGAATGGAAAAGGTTCTGGGTGAATAGTTGACTGGTACAAATCACAGATGATGAAGGCTTAGTGCTGATGATTAATTGAGGAAAATGGAGAGCCGGCACACTGTATTATACAATTGGCCTTGATGTAACAGCATAGCTGAGCACATAATGCCGCAGGTGTACGGTTACAGACATAAAAGAAAGAGGAGATTATCCAGGCTATAGGATTAACAAAGATCCGGTTAATGACTAGCAATGCCATTGTGATTTCAGACAGAGTTGTGCAGAGTTCAGAATGGAGCTGAGAGTGTATTTCAAAATAAAATTTAATTAGAGATGAATTAAATCAGTATATGTGAAGTTTATTTATAAGCTAATTTCGAGAGGACCACTTGCTTATAATTGCTTGCGGCTGTCCCGCATTATCCAATTTATGATTCACCAATCAGATGATTCCTAAGCCACTATAAATACCCTTAGTTCCATATGACAGCCCCCCCCCCCCCACTCCTCCTCCTTTTCTAGATGGGTGGCACGGTGGCGCAGTGGTTAGCACTGTTGCCTCACAGCAAGAACATCACTGGTTCTAGTCCGTACCAAGCCAGCCGACGTTTTTGTGTGGAGTTTACACGTTCTCCCCGTGCTCACGTGGGTTTCCCCCAGCGTCCCCGGTTTCCTCCCACTGTCCAAAAACATGCAACTTAAGTTACCTGACTAATCCAAATCAGCACCATCGACATGCTCCTAGTAAGTAGTTATCTCTTTAGAGCAATCACTATCTGTTAAATAGCTACTACAGCAGGGGAGTTCTCGAGATCTACCTGAGCTCAAACTCCCCTCTTGCCCTACAAACGGGTGGGAACCCTGGGCTCGAGGATCTTATGAGCTCAGGGCTTTCTCCTGGGACAGCATGCCAAACAAGCTTTATAATCAATCATCAGCTAAGTGTGAACTCTTGAAATTATTTTATGTTAGCTGATAAGAGTCAACATCTGATTCTATTCTGTCAATTAAAAGAGGTCAGGAAAACACAACTAATCTGTTTACAATTTTTATTTTTTTTTGTGAGTGAATGTACCTAAGGGCTGGGACACACCAAGCTGATACCAAACAGCTAGCACCAACGAAACCAAACCGTGTTGTTGCCTCGCGTTGGATTGCGTTTGGACCAAAAAGCTGCCTGTCAACACACCAAAGGGATGAAAGCTAACAGAAATGTCTCTTGCTCAGCGCCTGCACAAGAGTACTAGCTGTACTTCTTAAGGAATCTAAGGAAACTTGGTCTATCATCTAAGATCCTCAGCAACTTTTACAGCTGTGTGGTTGAGAGCATCCTGACCAGCTGTATTACTGTATGGTACGGCAACGCTACTGTAAAGGACCGCAAACGTCTGCAGAGAGTGGTGAGGACTGCAAAGAAGATCATCAGGTCAACACTGCCTTCTCTGCAGACTATCTACCATCGCAGAGTCCACAAGAGAACTGCCTCCATCCTGAAAAAACCCCACGCACGGTACCTCCTACCCTCAGGGCGGAGGTATAGGAGTGTGAGATGCATGACTGCCAGACTCAAGAACTCTTTTTTTACCCATCAGCTATCAGACTTTTAAACGCATAACCAGTGGACATAAACAGTTTCATTTTCTGCTCAGTAGCACACTACATTCTCCATCCAAGTTTGCCATTATACTGTTATTTGCACATAAGCCAATTGCACTAGGCACTTTTTGCATAATAAACACAATTCAAGAACCACTATATGTTGTTTACATCTGTTTTCATTACTCCAAAATCAGTATTATATATTGTTTACTTTCATAGATATTCATATATTTACATTTCATAATTATACGTCAGTCACTTCTGTGTATATATGTGTATTTGTGTGTATGTCGTGTAAAATGTGTATGTTGTGTGTATGACTTCACTGTGGACGGCAAAGTAAGAACTTTGACAATAACCAATTGAATTGAATTGAATTGAATTGAATTGAATTGAATTGAATTGAATTGAATTGAAGAGGACTACTCTGCCGGGAACAGAAGTCTATTTTCTTTAGTTCCACAAAAAGAAACCAAACTTTCAACACTGACAGACAAAACATAAACAAAGATTTAGTACCATTATCCCAGTAATTGTCCCTCACCATAGAGGGATTCACTCATGCAAACATGTCTGATAATCTAATATTTCATATTGTTTGCAAATATTTGAGAAATGTAGCAAAACTACAATCGGCATGTTTGTGTTTCTTCTTGGCTTGAATTGTTTACTTGCTTCGTCACTTTACTCGTGCTCTGATTCATTGCTAAATAACCCGTCAGAATGCCCTTTTTAGCCGACGGTTCAACGCCGATTCAACATGCTGAATCGGGCCACTAAGATCTGACGTTAACCTGATGTGTGGAACACACCAAACCAACTACCGACGAACCAATGAAGCCCAATAACCGACCATCGGCTTGGTGTGTCCTGGCCCTTACAGACAGAAAAAGAGACAGAGAGATGAAAGTGTAGCCAGAGAGAGATGCATGAAGAGAAAGATGTTTGAATGGAAGAACACTCCTTAAACTAAAAGATTATTTATTGCTATCAGTGTTCTAATGAAGAACCCTACAAATGTGAATTTCTATTCCACAAATTTGTTTCTAGTGAAAAAGGATATTTTAGATAGTTCTTTAAAGAAAAATGGATTTTGAGGAACCAAAATGGTATTGTAACTTTCATTTTACAACCCAGACTAATTCTGAAAATGTACCCCTAAATACATTTCTGGAGAGCACCAAAAACATCTCAGGAGATAAATTTTTTTTTGTAGTTTTTGTTTTCGTGAATCCACCAGAGGTTGCTGTGTACGCTTTTTGAGATCTTAAATTTCTCTCGCAAGTGCCTTTCGCGCCAATCCAAAAGAGGCCGCTGTCGACTGACTGACTGACCGATCGACAGAACCAACCTCCTCCTTCCTTAAACCCAACCAATAGTGTTTTCAAAAGCACAGATTGACCCGGGTACCCACTTCCTTAAACACAAATGACGGTTTAAAAAGCAATCCAAAAAAAGAAAAGCCCTTACCTGATTTTTACTACATTTTCAGATATTACCACATTCTCACCCAGTTATTTACTTGTTTATTTTATTTTTTGGCTACTGTTTTTATCTTTCTAGAAGCGTTCATCACCGGACTCAAACCTTGCATCGTGGTCAACTCCTCTCTGCGTCCCAATTCTGCCAACATACATGGCGAACTACTGGACCAACTGACAACAACAGGAAAGCCATCCATACAGAGGTAAGTGGTCAGCTGGTAAGCGTGAAGAGGAACGGCGTCATACTGCCCGTAGCGTTTGTTTTAAAGACAAAATACAGCCATACAATACTTACATCTGCCTACATAATTCACAATCTCCAGAAATGTATATTGGGCTACGTTTTCAGAATGAACCTATGTTGAATCCATTTTAAGAAAGAACACACAATTATCTAGTATGCATCAAATGGGCTGAATTTGTAGCATTTACAATTCAAAATTAAATTAAGAGGGAGAATTTTATTAAATTTGAATCTTGCAAAGTCATGATTTCAAAATAATTGATGATGAATCTCTTTAGACAACTTGTTACAATATTACAACTAAACTATGCATGTGCTAGAATGCATTCGTTATCATATTAAAAGTGTGCATACTTGCCTACAGAACATCTTCCATGTCGACTGTATTGAGGTTCTCCAACCATGCTGCTCACATCCTCCAGCAGTGCCTTGGTCATATGTGACACTTTCCTCCTCAGATTACCATAGACGCTGCGGCCCACATTGTGCAGAAATCCCCGTCTGAGGTTATCCAAGCCCTTCAGGAGGGCAGGATTACGCTCGGCGAACTGTACTGCCCTTTCTCCGGCGTTTGACCTTGACAGAGCCTGAAGCAGCAGCGTCTGCATTGAAGCAAAACTCTCAGACTGATTCAACAAGAGCTGCTCCTCAAGCACTTCAGGTGGAACAAGGAAAGGTTTAAACCGTCCCGTAGAGGCAGCGCCATCTCTCTGATGGCTCTCCACATTCACAGGATGAAGACTGACCACAGGTTTCCAGTTTCTGGTCTCCATGAAGCTTATAAGCTGCTCAAGCCAGCTCAGGTTAAAAGAGCAATCATTCCGTCCTTTCAAGACGCATATGAAACCCTGGAGACCTGCAACAGCTTGTCCGTACGTCCCGCTGACCACCGCCTGGAGGACCGTTTCCAGCAAAGCACTGATGGTTTTCCAATTCTGCGAAATAAAAGTTAAAATGGGCTTCTGGGGCTGCTTTTCGGAGAGGGTTAAAAGGCTTTGCACCAAACCTAGAAGTCCATCCCAATGTGGGCTTCCCCTAAGAGACAGGAACAGATCCTGAAGCCTAAAAGTGGGTCGCGGGGGACTTTTCCCATCCCACATCCCAAGCGAGGCTTCCCTTCCGGTCTGGAGAAGAGAATAGAGAAGGTTCTCCCAAAACTGGTCGTCACTAAAACCCTGGCCATCATCTAACTCGGCGCTCATCTCCTGTAAGTACATGGAGATGTTGTACAGAAATCCTGAGAGTCTGTTCCTGTCAATGGATTTGTTTATAGATGGGATGCTTTTTTTCTTCGGCAGGACTCCGAGGGATTTGAGGCCTCCCATGATGCCCTTCACGATGGATTGGATTTGTTGGTCTTTTCGTCTTTCTGCTGGCGGCTGTACTCGGTATGGGTTCCATTCTCCACCTTTCCTCCAAATCTCGACAAGCTCTTTTAATATAGCCTCCCTTTGGTCTTCTTTTTTGCTTCCTGTACAGACAAACAAACAAATTGAGTTGTCATAACAGAGAATAGCACATAAACAGCCTGCATGGACCTTTTTTTTCTGAATTTCTCAGTAGCGGACATTGTAATAATTGGGTAAACTAAGGCCCCATTTACACTTATACATTTTTGATTTAAAGTTTTGCTACAGCTTCCGTCCACACTACCCCGGAGTATTCGAGCCCCGAAAACGGAACGTTTTGGAAACGCTAAAGAGGCCAATTTGGTTTTAAAATGCTGCTTAAATATGTCTGTGTGGATGAGGAAAAATGGAGACGTCTGAAAACTGAGGTGAAGCTGATTAAGCCTTTTTCCTCAATATTATGTTCACAAAGTTCAGTCTTGAATTCTTTTCTTGTAAGTTCAGACTTTGCAAGTTTGGTATGGAAAACAAACTCCAGAGGATTCGTCGGGTAAATCTTCAAAGGGACCTGTGTACTTTGTAACCTCATACACATAAACCCTGACTACATTGTTTTAAAATTTTACACAAAATAAAATGATAACATGATGTAAGGAACTGCCTGTTTTCATTTTGACATTAACAATTTAACAGACACCAAAAATGTTTAGGCATTGTGTAGCTACATATTTAAATGACCGTCATCTTCATTGTATATTTATAACATAACGAAGCCTATAACATTACTGCCTCCTTTAAGTTTCATTGAAAAACATGAAACATACCCTCTCTTATGCTGAATATCAGTTTTAATAATCAATAATGGTCATTATTAAAGTATAACGCACAATTCGTTTATACTATGTAGGCAAGCAATCAGTCAAATAAGCAGAATCAGTGTACGTGGTTACATAACATAAGAACTTATTTCTGTGCTCAGCCGAAACGCATCACCTGAGAACAATTAATAGATTCAAAAGAGCAAAGAGTTGTCAGATAGAGACAAGATTAATTAAATATCACGTTTAACAACTATGGTGAGATGAGATTCAGTTGTTGATCCTTGATGAACTGTCTGACGTGTGCTGCTCTCACCTGGGAAGGTGTGCTCAAAGCACCCGCTGACTGCCTGGAGCTCATACGTCCGCATTGGCTGCAGCACATGCCAAAGAGTGTGTGTGTGTGGTCACGTGATGTGCGTTTTCAGTGTTGTAGTGTGGACGGAGATCTTTTCAAAAACACTAGTTGAAACGCCAGTTTGGATGTGGATCGTTTTTGTTCTAAAAAGCCATTTTAAAACTAAAACGTAGTGTAAACGGGCCCTTGGAGAGCAGTAAATGAAAGAGTACAAGACTGATAACGGCAGCTGGAAGAGAGAACAGTGTTGAATTTACTGTCCTGCCTCCATAGACACAGCATTAAAAACACCAAGCGGTAATTTGTACTTTGTAATTTGATGCAAAGATGATATAATACAGACAGAAATACATATGATTGTTCATATGTTTTAATTAAAAAATCTAAATATTAGAAAAATTTCGAGGATTAAAGATGTTGATGATCGTTAAATGCATCATAAGCAGTGGTGTAAAGTAACTAATTACAAATACTTAAACTACTGTAATTTAATAAGTAGTTTTAAAAATGTGTGCTTTTACTCCCTTGAGTACATTTTCAGTGCTGTATCGGTACTTTTACTCCACTACTTTCCTTCAACCTGCAGTCACTACTTAATTACTTAATTTTTTTCAGTCCTGTGATTCCTGTACAATCAAATCGCATCATAATAATCTACTGTGCCTCAAGACATGGGCGATTTATAATTGCAACAAACCTTTTGGAAGCATTAAAAGTGTCCAAGAAGATGTTTAAAATCTTACACGCTTTGACCCACAGACTGTTAAGATGCATGTCACTGATGAGAAGATGACGATATTTGCAGTATGGTGACCAAAATGGTCTTAAACAGCCAGCAGGCACAAGACATCAACACACGTAACATTAGATTGATGACCCCAACGTCGTTGGAACGTTGCAATTTGCTTGGAAATGAAATCAGGTTGACGTCAGAACTCAACATCAGGCCGACATCAATGTCCAACCTAAACTCAACCAAATATCAACGTCTAATGATGTTACAGTTTGATGTTGTGTGGACGTTACCACTATGACGTCTATCAGATGTTGAATTTTGGTTGCCATACCTATTGAATAATTGTCAGTTTTTGACATTAGCATCATTTAAGATGTTTTCTCGACGTTGGATTTTGGTAATTTTTTAACACAACCTAAAATCAATCAAATATTAACGTCATTTGACATTGTTATCAGTGATCAAAATAGCATTGTCCTTAGACACTGGCTAGACGTTGGATTTTGACATTGAAACCTAATATTAACTTCTTATGATATTGTGTGCCTGCTGAGCAATAACTAAATGCACTACAGAATGTCACGTTTACACACATCCACAAATTACATGTAAATGCATCAGCTTTTTACAGCGTAATATTCACTACTCATACTTTAACTAATATTTACAACAGATACTTTTGTGTTTGCACTACATATTTAAGCCATTTACACCACTGATCATAACAGTCTTGTGAAAAAAATCCATTGTCTTACCTCCAGCAGTGGCCGATGCTTGATCCAGTAAAAGCAAAATCACGACAATTCCCAGCTTGCCCATCCTAACTTCCATCGCCTCAAGGTAGCAGGGATAAAATCATTTTTTCGTGCTGGTAAGAGTGCATTTGCGTTCCTTTAGGAGCTGACGGAGACATTCAGAGAGTAAAGTGTCAGGCTGTGGAGCGCGCATGAAATCTTAATGACTATCCACTGTCACTTGGCTAAACTTTCACAAAGAAAAAGTTTGAAAGAGCTTAAAGGGAGAGTTCTGCCATCAAATCTGATCAATTCCTCTGTCATTTACTCATATTTTTGAGCATTTGAAACTACAAACATTAAATTGTTGACTACAAAATTATCATTGTGCTGAAAACTAAAGAATAATATGTAAGTTTGTTTCTGAAAGTAGTTAAAGAGATACTGCAGTTCACCACAACATCAAAATTCTAGCATCATTTATTGACCCTGGACTTTGGTTGTTAAATGTTGGAAACCTGTAACCGCTGACTTCCATAGTATTTGTTTGTCCTACTATAGGTGTCAGTGGTTTACAGGTTTCCAACATTCTTCAAAATATCTTCTTTTTTGTTCAACCCAAAAAAGAAACTTATTAAACTTTGGAACCATATAGTGAGTGCATTTTCATTGTTTCCCTTTAACATTGTATTGACACTGTATAAATGAATGACCTTTGGTAGTTAACCATAAATTTAGACAATTATTTAATGGTATTTTTAAATGGCATTTTCTTTATTTATCTTTTTTTTTCTGAATTTTACATTTATTTTTAACAATGAAATTCTTCGGGTGTTTTTTTAACCATAATTTGAAGGTTGTTTTTTACAGTGTACAACAGGAATGTCCGAACTCAGAGGGCCGGTGTCTTGCAAAGTTTAGTTTCAACCCAAATCAGACACACTTGTGCAAGCTGATCAAGCTCTTATAGACTTTCTAGAAACATCCGTGCAGGTGTGTTGAGGCAAATTGGAGCTAAAATCTGCAGGACACGGCCCTCCAGGACCAAGTTTGGACACCCCTGGTGCACAAGGTAACTACGGTTCAGGGTGTACGGTTCAGGGATAATAACTTATTACCCAGTTTGCATAATCACTACATGTACATGACAATATAATGACTACATTTCTTCATTCATTTTCCTTCGGATTAGTCTCCATTTCAGAGGTCACCACAGCAGAATGAACCATCAACTATTCCGGTATATGTTTTACGCAGTGGATGCCCTTTCAGCCACAACTCAGTACTGGGAAACCATACACACTCATATTCACAAAAACACTAATATGCTACGGCCAATTTAATTAATCCAATTCACCTATACTGCATGTCTTTGGACTGTGGGGGAAACAGGAGCACCTGGAGAAAACCCATGCCAACACAGGGAAAACATGCAAACTTTACTCAGAAATGGCAGCTGGCCAAGTTAGGACTTGAACCTTATAGCTGTGAGGCAACAGTAACCACTGAGCCACTGTGTCATTGTTATTGAAGACTAAAGCAGATATTTTGAAGAATGTTGGAAACCTGTAGGAAACCTTCACATCTTTAATATGTGTTTTTGCTAAAATACTGTAGATGTCAGTGGTTACATGATTCCAACATTCTTCAAAATATCTTCTTTTGTGGTCAACTGAATAAAGAATGTTTTAGAACTACATAGAGAGTCATTTTAATTGTTGGGTAAACTTTTTCTTTAACACTAATAACACTATACATTAATGAACTATGGTTTACCATCAATTTAAACATTTATCTTAAGGTATTAATCAGGGGTCACAACAGCGGAATGAACCGCCAACTTATCCAGCATATGTTTTACACAGCGGATGCTCTTCCAGCTGCAACCCATACACCCATACAGTCTCATTCACACTCATACACTACGGACAATTTAGCTTATCCAATTCACCTACAGCTGTCTTTGGATTTGTGGGGGAAACCGGAGCACCCGGAGGAAAACCACATGAACACGGGACGAACATGCAAACTCCACACAGAAATGCCAACAACCCCAGCTGAGGCTCGAACCAGTGACCTTCTTGCTGTGAGGTGACAGCGCTTCCCACTGCGCCACCGGCCCGCCCTAATTATTCATTCATTTTCTTTTCGGCTTAGTCCCTTTATTACTCTGGGGTCGCCGCAGTGGAATGAACCACCAACTTATCCAGCAAATGTTTTAAGCAGCGAATTCCCTTCCAACTGCAACCCATCACTGGCAAACATCCATTCACACTCATTCATATACATACACTATAGAAAATTTAGCTTACCCAATTTACCTATACAGCATGTCTTTAGACTTGTGGAGGAAACCGGAGCACCCGGAGAAAACCCACGCCAATATGGCCTAATTATTCATTTATTTGTTATTATTATGATTTAATCTTCTTTTTCACTCTATATTACCTGACAAAAGTCTTGTCCTCTATCCAAGTTTTAGGAACAAAAAGTAATAACTTGACTTCTAGTTGATCATTTGGTATCAGAAGTGGCTTATATGAAAGGCAAAGACCTCTAGATTATTAAAATATGATCATGCCTTGATTTTTAATTATTTAATTAGGACAGTAAAGTCTGACTTTGTTTAAACAACAGTCTTGTCACTTAACAGAAATAATGTGCAATATAGAATATAAAGTCATGCTGCAGTGGAAAAAGAATTAATATTGTGTCTGACTCCCATGAGCTTGGAGGACTGCATCTATACATCTCTGCAATGACTCAAATCCCTTATTAATAAAGTCATCTGGAATGGCAAAGAAAGCATTATTGCAGGACTCTCAGAGTTCATCAAGATTCTTTGGATTCATCTTCAATGCCTCCTCCTCCATCTTACCCCAGACATGCTCAATAATGTTCATTCTGGTGACTGGGCAGGCCAATCCTGGAGCACTTTGACCTTCTCTGCTTTCAGGAGCTTTGATGTGGAGGCTGAAGTATGAGAAGGAGCGCTATCCTGCTGAAGAATTTGCCCTCTCCTGTGGGTTGTAATGTAATGGGCAGCACAAATGTCTTGATACCTCAGGCTGTTGATGTTGCCATCCACTCTGCAGATCTCTCGCACACCTCCATACTGAATGTAACCCCAAACCATGATTTTGCCTTCACCAAACTTGACTGCTTTCTATGAGACTCTTAGGTCCATGTGGGTTCCAGTAGGTCTTCTGCAGTATTTGTGATGACTGTGATGCAGTTCAACAGATGATTCATCTGAAAAATCAACCTTCTGCCACTTTTCCAAATGATCAACTAGAAGTCAAGTTATTATGTGTTGCTCTTACAACTGGGATCAACGACAAGACATTTGTCAGGTACTACTTATGGATATTATTCAATTCTACGTGTCTGAATTTACGTTAAGATTTCTTGCAATATTCAACTACTCAATAAAAAAATCACAAATTCATTAAGGGTGAGTAAAGGATGACAGAGTTTTCATTTTTGGGTGAACTATCCCTTCAAAATAAAACACATTTATTTAAATCAAATATAAAACAAGCAAATAAATAAATATTAATTTCTTCTTTATCAGTTTTGCCCTGATACAATGCACATAAATAATCCAAATTAGACTTAAAATACACTTACCTGCATTTTGTCTTCAACATACATCAAAATACATTCATTAAAATGATGTTATGCACTTACCTACAATCCGCTGTGCGCATATAATCCTGTTTGCATTTGTGAAAAACAGATTGGATGTGTCTAGGATTGTGAATTATTTCTCGCTCTCTCTCTCTCTCTACATCCTTCTCTGTCAGCATTTGTCACTTTTTCTTGCGCTCCCCCTCCCCGCTCTTTGAGATTCAATTGGACCCTGAAAAGCCAAAGCTTCATGTTTCAGCGACACGGTCCCATCATGTGCCAGCTGACTGTGTGCTGGAGAGAGAGAGAGACAGAGATGTTATTTGAGAAAAGAGAAAGGCCAAGGAACTTTAAGAAGGTGTACTCGTGTATCACAAGGCAATTTCATAGTAATTAAGATTAAAGGAGTCGCACAGGAAGGTCATCGATTCGACTGGGGCTAAAACAGGCCACTGTAGATATACTATAGATAATGCGCATGATTTCCCAAATGATGTTTAGCAGAGCAGGGAGTTTTTTCACAGTATTCATTCATTCATTTACTTTTCAGCGTAGTCCCTTAATTAATCTGAGGTCGCCACAGCGGAATGAACCGCCAGCATGTTTTACACAGCGAATGCCCTTACTGCTGCAACCCATCACTGAAAAACACCCATACACACTCTTTCACACACATTCACTACAGACAATTTAGCCTATACCCAATTTACCTATACCACATGTCTTTGGACTTGTGGAGGAAACCGGAACACCAAGACGGGGAGAACGTGCAAACTCCACACAGGTACGCCAATAAGAAAGTCTTATTTGTTCTATAATAATATTAATAAATTGCTTGTTGTGTTATAAACAATTTGTTTAATAACAATTCAGGATTTTTTTGATGGGAATGCCTAATTTTTATGGTGCTAATTTGTGTGCATATTATGATTTTTAGTTTATAACGTGTTTATTTTAATTTGGAATGATGTTTCATTTCGTTTGGTTTTCTTTTAAAGATAAGACATCCCATTTTGAAGTCAAAACTGATGTTTTTTCTATACTGTTTGGTGTGTAACAAACAATTCATTTAATAATAATTCAATTTTTGTAGATGAGAACGATCATAAACAAATCTATAACCCAATCTTTATTGTGATAATGAGAATTAATGCGTTTATTATAATTTTGTGTTTTTATTATGTTTTAGTTATGATTTTGAATGAACTTTCTGTTTAATATATTGTTTGGTGTGTAAATTAATTTAATCAAAATTCAATATCTTTCAATAGGAATGCCCAATCTTCATGGTGATAATGACAATTAGCGTGTTTATTATGATTCTGTGTTTATATTATGTGTTTATTATGATTTTCAATGACACTTCATTTTGTTTGGATATTTTTTAAAGATGAGACATATCATTTTGATGTCAATGATTATTATTATTTTTAATATATTGTTTGGTGCGTAATA